CACAAAGGAGAAACTGTCATTTACCCAAAAAAACAAAGTAAAAAACAAAGTCACTTCAAAAGTTCCTGGTACTGCCTACAGCTTGATTTAGCCCATGGGTTTGAGGCTATACTTCATTTACTTATTTATTAAATATCACCAGGTAACAAGCATTTGAGATAAATTGGCTAGGGAAGCAGACATGAATGATTTTGCTCCCAATGAAGCTTATGGTTTAGTTGGGATACAGACACTAAGGAGATACTCACAAATAAATGCAAAGTTACAATTACAGTTATTTGTGCCATTAAAGAAAGGGACATAGTGCTACCACTTGAAAAACAGGAGTGAGAAGGTCAAGAAAAGCATACCTAACAAAGTGGCACAAACCAGGAAGTGAGAACAAACAAAGGGAGCACAGGGAACAGCACATACTAAGGCCCTAAGTCAGGAGTAATATGGTGAGTCCAAAGGACTAGAAGAACAAGTGGGGAGCTGGGCTCCCTGACCTATCTGTGCAAAACAACGGAATCTAACAAGATTCTACTGAAATATTCCCACAAAAAAATGAAACTATTACTTCACACCAACAACAAAATCTTTGATGCTTTTAAATGCATCTAAATCATACCTTAAACCATACCTTGACATGAGCTCTGATGATACAATATATTTACATGCACTTCAGGTTTTACAGGTTTTGGAATTTGGGTCTCAGCTGAAGGATTCTGCAGACAAAACAGACCTACTTTTACCCTGTCATCCTAACTGTGCATACACTTAAGTGCTCCCTTGACTGTCAACTTGCCAGGGCACAGACATCAAGTCTAGCTTGCACACTTCAAATCTCACTCTCTGAAGTAGGCCAGATTACAAAAATAGCAAAACCCAGGAGACTGGGTGGGAGCATTCCATACAGGATCAAACTAAACCAAATGACAAATTGTCATTATTCAGGTCTTTACTTTATTCCTTAGAATTATTTAAATAATGCTCTCTAGTGTCTCTTCATTATCTAGATAGAAGTCTCAGACCTGCATCTTGGACTATTATGGCATAGCTATTGCAATGGCTACCAAATAAATTACCAGTCCACACCTCTTTCCTGCATAAGGCTCCCCTTTACATGGTTTCAGCAAAAACGGCCATCTTTGTATAACAGCCCTGTCACTCAACCCCAGGTGAGTGTCACTCACCCCCTTCCCCAGCATTCAGATTTCAGACTGTGGCTTCTAGCCTTCTTGCTCTTTCTAATGAAACTCTGAAACTACTGGCATTTTGATTTTCTGTTATATGGAGTAGAAACAGAAAAGCAAGAATACAGTGGAGAAGAGTATGACAGGGATGACAAATATGAAAGACTTTGAAGGTTCTTGATAGCATTCCAAGTTCAGGGACTCAGTCTAATCCTGAAGCTCACTGGCTTTCCTGCCCTTAGAGATAATTAAGATAACTATGCATCCTCAGCATACATTCCCCTCGGCTGAAGTGATCCTGCAGGGGTTTCTGTTATGCACAAACAACAGTCCTAACCACACGATCACAAGAACCTTAATAAATATGCCCAAGCCTTTTCTTTTCATCATCGGCACTGTTCCTTCTTGAAGTTTGAAAAATCACTTTCTATTGCTGCTCAGCCAGCTGCCTCACCTTATTCTTTAAATTAGACTATTTGCAGATGTCCTTATATACCATCTTGTTTCAAAAAAGACCTGAGTCTGATTTTGAATTTAACATAATTCTCAAAGTTTCCTACATAAGGGAAATAAATTGTGAATAAGTGAACATCTCAGAAATTAAAGCCTTCTTCAAATAAACAGAGAGATAAATATCCACGCAGCATTTCAGCATGGGGAACTGCCCTGAAAACTTTAACAATTTCTTCCATCAAAAAAAAAAAAAAAAAAAAAAAGCCATACATAGGGGTTGGAGTTGTGGCTCAGCTTTAGCGTGCTCTCCTAGTGTGATAGTAGAAGCAAATGTGACTCCATTTTGTTTTATGACTTCATCCTGTAAAACAACCATGCCAAGTAGAAGGGTCATGACTGGGGTAAGATGTTCTTTTCCTTTTGCTATAGAAACCTTTAAGAACACAGAACTACCTAATGGGGCATTGTTTCTGTAACTAGGGTAATGGGGCTCTGTTATTGTAACTGGGGTGACTGGGCTAACTGTGATTGGTTAGGCTTCCTGCCGCTTGACTGCACTCTCCTGCTTCTGTAACTTGGCTTGCTTGCATTGGCTAGACCCCCGAATATCCCTTTTGCGGTTTTCAGGTTTATAAGGAGCGCCCTTGCAATTGTTCGGGGCTGATCAAGGGAACAGCTTTATGTTCTGGTCAGCCGCCACCGGTGTGCTTCAATAAAGGCTGGATTCGATCGATTACACGTGAGTGGTCTGGAAGTCAGTTTATGAAACCCCGGGACGAAGCTTTATAACGCTAGCACGTGCAAGGCACTGGGTTCAATCCTCAGCACCACATAAAAATAAATAAATAAAATAATGGTATTGTGTCCAACTGCAACTAAAGCAAACAACAACAACAAAAACCCACAAAAGGCCATATATTCCCAGAGTAAAAACTACAGTGGGTGCAGAAGAGATTTAAAGCCCTTATTCCCTTCTCCTTAGAGCACCTACTCCTACTCTCCAGAGGTTAATGTCAAACATACACATAATCTGATGTTATTTTCCATCTCATTTTTTCTCCACATAAAAAACTATATACATGTTATTGTCTCTTAATTTGCTGTGTGGTTTCACTTGTAAAACAGCAATAATTCTAACTTCATAGGACTGATGTAAGTATTAAATGAGTTAATATAAAATGCACAGAGTGTGCTGGGGTTGTGGCTCAATGGTAGAGTACTTGCCTAGCATGCATGAGGCACTGGGTTCAATCCTCAGCACCACATAAAAATAGATATTATGTCCACCTAAAACATTTTAAAAAATAAAATGCTGAGTCTAGAACAGGATCTATTACTATTGTTGGAAAGTAAATTCTTACAAGTAGGATTACTGAATCACAGGATGTAAACACTTTAAATTCTAATCAATGTCATATTACCTCCAAAGTGACTGTACCAATTTACATTCCCACCAACTGTATATGTAAGTGCCTATTTTCCTACACTATTATTAGAGTAAACACATTTTCAGTCACTGGAGGTATGTTAGATTTTCCATGTTAATGCAAGCACAGGTTCCTACAAACACAAAATTAGAAAAATAGCAAACGTTTTTCCAAATGAAAAGTGGTAAGATGGTAATTACAAGGCAAGCAGCCAAAGTAAAGAGCTGATCTGATTGGGAAGATGTGTCATATGCCCACACCAGTCTTATCCCTAACCCTGCATCCACACTTCTCTGTATCTTCTTTTCCATGCTCAATCTAACTCGTGCTTACCTCTTAGACTTTATTTCCCATTCCTCTTTATTCTGATTCAGCCATCCTTGCTGCCTTTCTGCCCGCCAACCATGAGGAAATGTTTTTTTAAAAATAAATAAAATAGGAAGTCACAGGAGTATTCTGAGCAAAAAATGAGAACAGACCTACAAGATATCCAGCTGTAAGCAGATAGTCCATAAAGGAACAAGAATGGAAAAGGCAAGTCAGTTATTATATTACAGTAGTCCAGGCAAGATTTGATAGAAGTGTGGACCGAGATGGTTACAAAATCAATGAGAAGTGTCTGGACACTTAAGAATTTACTGATAGACTGGATATGCAATGAGGAAAGACAGGAGATTTGAGTTAACTCCTAGATTTGATGTATGAGAAACTGGTCAATTTAGGGCCATTTACAGAATGCTGAAGATTAGGTGAGGGAGGCATGAATTACAAACTATGATAGTTAAGTTTGATGCACCTGCTTAGACATTCAGTAGTCTTATTCATTATTCACTCAACGAATAAATATCTATAATATTGGGCACTAGGAAAGGAACCCAGTTCTGAGTTCATAAGGCTAAACCATCTGACCGGGTCAGCTGTCCCAAAAAGGCAGAAAATGGCCTGGCGCGGTGGTACACGCCTGTAATCCCAGCGGCTGGGGAGGCTGAGACAGTAGGATAATGGGTTCAAAGCCAGCCTCAGCGACATCCAGGCGCTAAGTAACTCGGTGAGACCCTGTGTCTAAATAAAATACAAAATAGGGATGGGGATGTGGCTCAGTGGTTGAGTGCCCCTGAGTTCAATCCCCAGCACCAAAAAAAGAAAAAAAAAAAGAACCAAAGAGGCAGAAAATGCCGCTTAGTCGAGCTCCGAACACGAAGGAGAACTGCACGACTAAGAGCCTCTGAAAAGACTGGAACAACAGCGCGGGAAGTTCAAGGACCAAGAGTGGGGTGGACGCAGGGGAGAGGCGGCTAAGCGGCGAGGAGGAGCTCGGAACCGTCGCCACGATGGCGGCGTAGGAAGGGCTGGACTGGAACTCCACAAGCACCTGGCCCCCCGTTTCTGCCTGCCGAGCCTAGGGACAGGGACGTCACCAGTCCACGCGGCTCACACGCTCTTCACCCTGCTCTGGTGGGCAGGGAGTTTTTAATCACGGGGGTCGCGCGTGCTTCTCACCTCGTCAAGGACCTCGTCGTCTTCGTCCTCTTCTTCGTCACTATCCTCATCGTCTTCGTCTTCATCCTCGACTTCATCCTCCCCTTCTTCTTCGTCGTGCCGGAAGGGGTCTCCGGGAGGCCGCGGGGCTCCTTTCCCCAAGGCCCGTCGTTTGGCCCGGGACGCCATGCTGCCGTCCACACTGCGCCTGCGCAAGATCTACGGCCCGCCCTTCCGGGCCGACACATACTGGCCGAGGGGGTGGGGGACCACGAAGCCCCTCGGCGCTAACTGGACTTGAATGAACACCAGAGACCCTTCTGGACTCACAGCCGTGATCTTCCGGAGTCACATCCATCATAAATCCCAGCCTGGCCCTTTATTTCTCATTCGTCCTCCCTCCCTCATCAGTCCCTCCAAGGCTACCCCTATCGCTCAGTGGTTCGACCCATCCGGCTGGTTTCCTTCCGCCGGCCTGGACGCCGGTGCGCACGCGCGGCCGCTCACCTGTGCACTGCGGCGGACCGGGGGCTGGTGCTGAGGTGTTGAGTTCCCTGGGGCGCCCACTCTGTTGCCAGTCTCCCTGAGCCCCTTCGCTGGGACCGCGGGGTCCCGCCTCCCACCGGTGTTGGCCGAGTGCGGCGCGTGGCGCTGGGCGGGCTCCCGCTTCTCAGCCCTGGGGCCTCGCGGGGCCCGCGAGGTAGGTGTCGCTGCCCAGGGTGCCAAGGAAGACACGGGCATGCGGGCCTTGGCGATGTGGGGCCGGCCGGCCAGGCTCCTGGAAGCCCTTTGAGAGCAGGCTAGACCACCTTCCGTGCCTCGGCGCCGGTCGCGTGATCCGAGCCTGAGCCTGTGACAAACAGGAGAGGTACCCCTCAGCGGCCGCCAGTGCGCAGGTGGAAGTACTGGTCCGGGTTGTCACGTGTCTAGTTCGAGAGAAGCTGGAGTTCCGGACGTTTACAAGAAATAAGATCGTTAAAGCCAATCGTGAAAATGAGAGGGAGACCAATAAAGAGGAAGGGGACCAGGGTGGGCAGGGAAAGGAGAAATACTGGCGACGTTGTTGACCGAATTATATTGCTATTTCGTGTGCACGTGTGAACATGTAACAACAAACCTCACTATTATGCATAACTACAATGGACCGATAAAATATTGGAATCCAAATTCATTAAAAAGAAAAAACACTACCAAATAAATTGCGTCCACCAGTCAGGATTATCGCTCAGGGTAGCAATTTTCAGGTCCTTATAAAGGCTATATGAAAGAAGATCTTTAATTAGGGAAGCCATCAGCTTTTTGAGAATTATCCGTTTTCTTATACTGAAAAACGAATGCCAGATGTGTTTCGAAAAATAGAATGAGCTGTCCTTAGAAGTAAGGTGGTCATTGTGTAAGAGGTTTATGTAGAAGCATGGGAACTTCTTGTCAGTGGTTCTTCAGTAAAAGTCAGTATATCCTAAAGGTCTCCATTAGTTCAGAGTCCTCATGATGGTGCCCACCAGGCCATGTGATGAATGTTAATATACTTAAAAATCAGGGCTGCACATCTGACGGAATAGCTTGAAGTGGCCCGATTGGGCCACACAGTTGTGCCAGAATCCTATAATGTGCACCTTTCAAAAAGGCTAAGATTAGAAAAGAGACTTAGAATACACCATGCAAACATGACAATAGTGTGACACTGAGACATTATGGGTAATTTCCTTGCTTGGATTTTTGTTGTTGTTGTTGTTGTTTGTTTTTGCATTGCTCCGTATTGAACCCAGGATGACCTTGTACATGATAGGCAAGCACTCTACCCACTGAGCTACACCCCCAGTCCTCTTTGTATTGTTTTTAATTGGAATCATATAGTAGTCTTCGTGTGTCAGTATTTCCTTCCTTTGACTGAATAATAAAACATCGAATTGTGTGTATATTTTACATTTTGTTTGTCAACTGACAGTTGATGGACACCATTTTAGTTATTTAAATAATTCTGCTATGAATATGAGTATAAAACCATCTCCTCAAGCTCCTACTTTCAATTCTTTGGGGGTATGTAACAACTGATGGATCATATGGTTTGTTAATTTTTTTGAGAAACTTTGCTTTTGTGTATGTGCAAAACTTTCACAATGAGTTGCTAAAAGAAGAGAGTAACCCCAGATTGGTTCCTAATCTCAAAATCATGGTCAGAATATGAATTAGAGTAGCAAATGTGAATAAATGGCTCACCTATGGTTTTGATAGTCAAGAAAAATATATTACAGATCCCAGGGGACATCCTTAGTTCGGGAATGGATTGATTACCACTGTCTCAATCTTTCTATTTAGTACAGAATTTGCCTTAAAAGAGTAGAAAGGCAATCTAGAGTGATTAGCTTCAGGCTTGGATTCAGACTGTCATTTACAATCTGTGTGATCATGGACAAGTGCCTCAAACTTTGCAGAGCCTTTTTCTTCTGTCCTTTAGTATATGGATGATGATATCTACATTGCAGACTTAAATGAGGATTTTAGTCTTGCATGTAAAATGCTTATTAGCCCAGTATGATGGCTAATAAGTTAATTTTATGTGTCAGCTGGGCTTGATGAAGGGATGCCCAGATATATTAGATTATTTCAATGTGAGTCTGTGAGGGAATTTTTAGAAGATTAGTGTTTGAATCCACTGACTGACTAAAGTGCATTGTTCTTCCCAAAGTGGGTGGGCCTACTCCATTGAGGGCCTGAATAGAAAATAAAAGGCGAGGGAGAAGGAGAATTTGCCCCTGTCCTTCATCTGCCCTTGGTGCTTCTGGTTCCCAGGCCTTCAGACTTGGACTGGAAACTACTCCATCTGACCTCAGTCCTTCATACTACACCACTAGCTTTCTTGAGTCTCTAGACCAAGAATTCTCTTTAAAAAAAAAAAAAAAAAATTATTGAGTTGCTACAGATGCTAGCCAGAAAGGGACCGAATCCTAGATGAGTGCCACAGTTACCACAGCAAGGCTAGGTAGCAACCGGAAAAAATATCCACAAAAGCCCAAATCACTTATTAATGAAGATTTGGGGAACGAAATCATAAAGTTGTTTCCAGTGAATTTATGTTGGCTATAAATAAAAGGGGTGGGAATCACATGAAGTGAGAAAGGAAATGTGGGATAGGAGGGCATTCCATAAGGAAAAGTTCTTGTTAACTTCTGGATTGGTTGGGGTTAGTAGTCCAGAAAGTCTATCCAGAAGCCAGAGAGGTTGGTGGTGCCTGGGGTCAGCTCCCAGAGCTTTTAACTCAAGTTTTTAATATAATTCAGGAATGTAGAACATCTGTTGGATTGGGTCACTTTAAGACATCTCAGAATTTTTCTTTTTACTCTTGCAAATAACAATTTGTGGGACTCCTCAGCCTCTGTAATCACATGAACAAGTTTCTTTGTAGATACAGATATATCCTGTTGGTTTTGTTTCTCTGCAGAACCCTCATAGTAAATAACACTAAGTACTCAATAAAGGGCAGCTGTTGTTACTGCTGATACAAAGAGCAGCAGGACACACAAAGTGTTTGGAGCTTCGTTCTTACCTGTGAAACCATCTTAATCCAGTCACTTTCCTAGTTCTTTAAGCAACCATTTCTTGTTTCAGAAATGCTGGGTAAAGTTAAAAGTGTTTTCCCACAGTGTGAAAAAGTATTGAGCATCTACTGTGGGAAAGAAGGGCCCTCAGAAAATCCAGCCACTGAGAATCCTCCAGCCAATTTCATAGATGAAGGAACTAAAAGAAGAACAGCCTGAGCTGGGCTCAGTGGCACACAGCTGGAATTTCAGCACTCAGGAGGCTAAGGCAGGAGAGTTCCAAGTTTGAGGTCAGCATTGGCAACTCAGCAAGACTAGAGTCTGAAAATGAATTTTTTTAAATAAAAGATGCTGGGATGTAGCTTAGTGGTAGAGCACTCATGAGTTCAATCCCTAGTACTAAAGGGGAAAAAAAAAAAAAAAAGCAGCCTAGACCAGAACCCAAGCCTCAGCCCTCCTGGGAAAGCTCCTCCTCCACTGCCCTCTACCTCAAGTTCAGAGTGCAGCCTGTTTATTCACCTGACAACATGTGCTTATCCTGGACTTCTCAGCTTACTTATGGGACTCCAGCACAGCAGAGCATCACCAGCAACAGGTCCCCTTAATTTTATACTGGAGTGGCAGGAGAGGGATAAGGGTAGTAATTTGATTTCTGTTTGTTGAGTCTTACAGCACATGTGAGGAATAGTTACTATCTGAAAGCTCAAGCTTCTTGCTAACATGGTTTTATCCTAAGAAAATCAGAAGAGAACTCAGAAGGAATATTTTTCTGCTAGCAGTGGATAAATTGATTTGGCTTTCACATGTTTTATAGTTAAATGAAGTACTTGGTACTATAGTGATAACTTTATATCTTCATACCTTTGTCTTTCCTAAACATTTTCATTTGCCAAGTTTATAAGAGGCAGATACAGCAGGGGAGTTAAAACACAGAATTTGGGGTATGACCCCCCACCTGCCACTTAGCCGTTCCGAAACAGGACAAGTGTACCTCAACTTCTGCATAAACCTCATCGATTGAATGCATGTAAAGCCTGGCATGTGCAACAAATGTGCTAGCTGTTTCAGCAGTCCTATGGCTAGGGCAGAGGTTATTCCAGCTTAACACAGGAGAAAACATGGTCAAACCATGGTAAGTCATAAAGCAGGGACCAGAGACCATGTCCCTTAGCCCTTAATCCTATGCTTGTTCTGTGACACCATGATTCCCTCCTTACACTGTTTCCATAAAGAAACAGGAAGAGGGCTGAGGGTGAGCTCAGTGGCAGAGGTACGCCTAGTATACTAGATGCCCAGGGCTCAATCCTCAGCACTGTAAAAAAATAAAAGACTGCGGGTATAGCTCAGTGGTAGAGCTCTTGCCCATGGAAAGCCTTTGGTGATGCACTGTATTTCCAATATACCTTCACAGCAACACCTAGATTAACACTTGTAAATAACCAGAAACTATAACCAGCTAAGGTGACATATAAAAGAGACCATCACAGAAAACTGGGCTCTGAATTTCTGTCAGACACATTTTGAGAACTTGAGGAAATACTGCCCATTTCCTTACATCCTCAATCTTAACACCTGGACAGCAACAATAGTAAGAACTTGATTTCATAATAATATATTCACCTAGGTTTGGTTGCTTAAACACAAAGCAATTCATTTTGAACCAAATTTTCCTAAAATGTCCTGTAAATAGTCCAATATTCCAGTAATATAATTAGTAGTCATTTATAATTAGTGGCTCTCAGAGTTAACACACTTCTACTTCACACAGTGTACTCTATTCGGTCTCACCAATCACTGCACAACATTTAAGGAACTCGTGGGTCTAGTGCTATTTGTGGGATGATGAAATCTTTGTTAAACAATCTTTCTTTGTACACGTTTATGAGTATCATCTGGGTTTATCTTCTTAGAAGTGAAATTACAGGAAGAAAGATTATGAAGTCTGTAAGACTTTAAATGTCTACAAATAATTCTTCAGGCTGCTAAATTATCTCCTTATACTTGACAACATTTATAAACATCATTTGAGAAGTGCAAAAGCCAATGCAGTCATTTCCTAAAGTACTTATAAGCTGCGTAGTATATTTGTCTTGAAATGGAAATAATTATGAATTTACCTTCATAAATGTAAGATGCTCATTTCTCTATTTGTTATAGATACACCCCAGAGTTTGCATTTTTTTATGGTGAGCTACTGACATGGGACACTTGACTTTCACTGATGGCTTTCATTTGCCTTTGCAAGTGATATCAACTGCTAACATGCCCTCCCTTGGCCTTATCAGTGACAGGGGTCTTCAGAAAGAGCAAGCCCATTAACGCCAAGTCACTGTGTGGGCAGAACAGATCTCTCCAGCGAGCAGTTAATCACCTCCTTTTCATGCTGCCCCCATCTAGTCTTGCTTAGGGAAATTCTTTGAGATCCAAGTAAGATCTCTTCCCTTACTTTGTCATAGTGCCCATAAGGAGCACCAGGCAATAATGAAGGTTCTTTTATTGAAAGATGCAAAGGAGGACGATTGTGGCCAGGATCCATACATCAGGGTAAGTGGCCCAAGATTCATTGTCCCCTAAACTGGAGATTTCTTGCTAAAGGAATCAAGGGCCTGGAGCTGGGGTGGTGGAGGGGAGCTGCTAACACTCATACTTGACACAGAATAAAGTTAATGATACTATCCATTCTCTTTATTTCAGAATAGCCCCTGCCAATCCAGAACTATTTTTTCATTTGCAGGAATTAGCATTGTATGGACTTGAAGCCACATTGATCCCTGTTTTATCCTTTGAGTTTTTATCTCTTCCAAGTTTTTCTGAGAAGGTAAGACTTGTCTTGTCTGAACTCCCTGTTAGTGTTTGGTCTCTAGAAACTGGCCAGCCTGAGCCATTTTCCTAGCCCCTTATTCTACCACCAGATTTGAACACAAGGACGGCACACCGGGCTCCAGGAGGCTTCGTCCTGGGCTTCTCTCACCAAGCCTCCCCTGGCTCCTCTAGGAAGCCACCCATAACCAGAGGTAGGCCAGGAAGAACAGGGCCTATGAGAGCACCATACCTTTGTGGTTCTCAGAATTCTAGAATCTTCTGTTCATATTCTCCTCTGAAAGACCTCTATATAGCAGACCAGACAGGTATTTTCCCCATTTTAGAGAATGAGACCTCCAGCCGGCCAAAGATAGACCTAGAACTCAAACCCAGGGCTCTGTCTACCATTTCAGCTTTGCATCCAAGTGCAGGAGTAATAAATATTGCAGGAGACATACCCAGTAAAGTCTTCCAGATGTTTCAGATTAAAGCCTTTAGGCTGGAGATGTAGTTCAGTGGTAGAGGGGTAGCATGTACAAGGTCCTCAGGTTGATGCCCAGCACTACAAAAGGCATAACAACAGATTCAGTACCCACAGTTTGAGTGATACCAGATCTGTACAACAGCCCAGTGCCTGCCTCGGAGTTAACTTTTAGTGCATTATATCACCATTACTAGTTTTGAAATTTAGGTCTTCAGTATAGGCATCACCTCCTGAATATTGCAGTTGCATTAAGACACAGATAAAGTCTGCCCTCTTCCTGCACCTCAGCCATTCCCAGGCTGGGTCCTGCCCCCTCTGCTACAATCTCCTGAGTTGCACTTGTCTGTCTCCTATACTGTGAGCTTCTTGAGGGAAGTACTATGGTAATTCACCTGTACATCCCAAAAGGCCTAGAATAGTTCCAGGCCCAGAGTAAGCCCTCAGTAAGTGTTGGGGGTGGTGGATGGGTGAAAAGAATTAGCTTGTCTGCTACTTCTGGGAAGCATTTAGAATTCTGGGTCACATAGCTCCATAGGAGATGTTGAACTTAAGCTATCATACAAAATGCCTTTATTGCTTTCTGATGTGCAGCTGTCTCATCCAGAATGTTACGGGGGACTCATTTTTACCAGCCCCAGAGCAGTGGAAGCAGTGGAATTATGTTTGAAGAAAGACAATAAAACTGAAGGTGAGGGTGGGTCTGATCTGGATTCCACTGGGCTTTTATTTACTCTGTTTCTCCCACTGAGACACTAAAGACAGAAGTAGCTGAGCCCTGACAGAGATGTGTGCAAGGTGGTACTGGGTCCCAAATGTTTCTTGGAAGGCAGCAGACAGGGTGCCTCCACAGCTTGCTGGGCATTTGTATCTCCTCAGAACATATGAATGCCAATTTCTTCCTCTGAAAATATGATAAATACCACTTTTCTCAAAGGAATGATGAGAAAACTTGGCAATGTATGAGAAAATCTTCAATGCCCTGTCAGGCCCTTGATGACAGGCCATCTCCTTGACCCTTCTCCCTTTCTCCTTCCCTTTCTTTCGATCAATAGTATAAAAAGGCACAGCCCTTTCACTGAATGCTGGGGTGCAGACTGAACAGCCACCTTATTCATAACTGCTGCTGAACAACCTCCTAGCTAACATGTATGGAGTGCCTGTTGTGCATCAGGCTCTGTGTGAAATACTTCAATTCATTATCTCACTGAACCCAGACAACAACCCAAGTCATACAATACCACAGTCTCACTTTAGAGCTCACAATGCAGAGGCTTGAGAGAGTGACAGCAGGGAGAGTGGTTGGCCCAGGGCTTTGGAGTGCAGTCATCCTGAGCTTGGTGAGCTCCTTGACCTCTCTGCTTGTCAGGTCTCTTGCCTTTGAGCAGGCCTAGTAGTCCTCACACCACAGTAGTACTCTTCTACTCCTCACTAGCTGGAACTTACCACTTTGTGCCACTTGCTGTCCTTGGTCTTTACCCTGTGAGGTGGATTGGTAGTTCCACTTGACAGATGAGGAACCTGAAGAACAAGGAATGCAGTGCACAGTCTTAAGTTGCATGTTTGTGACTCTTGCAAGAGTCCAAGTCCCAGAGAAGGCATCCAGGAGGTTGCCTGGAATAGTCATCATGAGTCACGTGGTAATGGATTGTCATTGTCTCCACAAGCTGGGCTTGCTGCAGACCTGTACACATATGGGCCTCCTGCTGAAGAGAGAGCCTGTCACTGCCCCCAGTGGGGTTTGGGGTGCCTTGTCCTACAGTTGTATTTTTCCATTTGTATGTGCTTAGAAGGAGAAAGTTATAAGAAAGGAGAAAACCCCAGAGTCCTGCAACTTTGTCATGCTTTGCAGTTTAAAAAGCATTTCCCATACATGTTTTTATTTTGATTCTCATGACAATGGTATGTGATAGGACCGATACATTAATCCCTTTTAGCTTAGTGAAGAAACTGAAGATGAGGGTTGGGGGGCTGCCGACTAGCCGGGGGTCCACAGCTGCTGAAGGGGCAGAGCTAGCTCTGCAGCGAGGCTCCTCTACCCATCAGTGTGCTCACTCCATCACTGTTCTGCTGCAAACCTTGAGAAGCACTTTGTTACCCTGCTATGGATAATTTCCCAATAAATATTCTTACACTTGTAGGGTAGGAAAAAAGGTAAAACTCAATTTTGAGTTGTTGTTTAAAAAGGAATTTCCTTTGGGATATAAAAAGTAAATTCACCATAACACTGGTGACTTTAGGGGAAAATTATGCTCTTACTAGATTTTAGGACAAAAAAAAAACACTATTATTTGTCTTCTTAAAATGTTTTGAAACCACAGTGGTCATATAATATGTATACATATGATCCATTTTCTTTTTGTATGTCCTTAATCCATTTTTAAAAGATCTTTCCTTGTCATAAAATGGTAGTTTACTGTATTTTTATATTGTGTTTATTAATGAAAGTGAAATTTATTATTTCTACTTTGAACCATGGGTAAATGAACCCTTTCATTTGAGATTATATTTTGTTGATCACTTTCAAATTTATTTCCCAAATAAAACATAACTATTGATTTATTAGACATTTAAGTCTAATAATAATGTCATTTTTTAATGACCAGTACGTTTTCTTTAAAAGTCTAGATTTTTTAAAATTTTAATCTCACCATGCAAATTGATTCTTTAAGTTATGTTTATTTTCTAGTACATGTTAAAAAATGCTTCAGTGCCAATTGTGGAAATTGTTATTTCAAGCAGTCATATTGAAACATTTACCTAAGTGATTTTTAAAACACCCTGCAGGATATGAACAACAGGAAAATGGAATTTTAGTTTGAGATGCTGTTCTTTCACATTGGGTTATTAATAGTTTGCTTTGCTCATGAGTTTCTTCGGGTGAACAAACAACCTTGGGCAGCAATCCAAAACTTTGGTACTTACAAATCAAATTTAATTTAATATTTTGCAGTCTGGGAAAAGTCTCTGAAAGAAAAATGGAATGCCAAGTCAGTGTATGTGGTTGGAAATGCTACCGCTTCTCTAGGTAAGGAAGTCAGGTAAAAATAAAGTGCCCCAAATGGTTTAGCCTTCTTTATTTTTGTAAAATACATCAATTCAGTTTTTAAATGTTTTTATTTACAAAATTGCAGAAAGTTATTAATTAGTTAAATATTTAATGCTACTGATAGGGTGCAGTGAAATAAATATATTAAAACATTTCTAAGTGACATTAAAAACTGGTACATCTTTTAAGAAATTCTTGATCAGTACATATTCAAAAGTTTTATTTAAATATTCGTAAACTTTGACCCATGAATTCCATTGTGAATGTACTCAATGCCAATGAATTATTCTTTGAAGAAATGGCTAAAATAGTAATCTCCATGTAGTGGTTTATTAGTTCTCTAACACACATAGAGTGAATTGTTGAGAGTTAATATTATAACACTTTAAATATTTAGAACAATGCTGACCAGAAACAAATAAATTAACCTATAACTTAGTTTCAAAATAGTTCATTTGTCCAAATGAGTTTAAAAATATTGGAGGAAATATTGTGGTATGAATGAAATTAGTACATTTTCCAGAGAACAAAATGAGATTAGGGACGAAATGGGTTGAAAGTTGTTAGACTAATTAGAGATAACTCCTGGATCTTGTGTGCTGATAACTTGCCACAAGCTCAGCAAGTCAACCAGGTGAGGGACTCAGTGCTTAGTTGCCAAAGGAACCACCTCCACTCTCCATGTCAGTTCTCCAAAATAAGAAATTGCTTTTACTTTACTGTTTTGTTTTTTTTTTTTAATGAGAAGAGGAAAGAAAATAATACAGGCAATTTCTGACTTGTGTCCTCTTATGGTTTCTGGATGTCCCCCAAAGGCTTATATGATGAAGACTTGGGTCCCCAGTGCAACAGTGTTGAGAGGTGGGGCTTTGGGGAAGCAATTGCATCTTGAGGGTTGTGACTTCAGCAGTGGATTAGTCCGCTGAAGAATTAATAATCTGCGTAGACTATTGAGAGGTGGTGGAACCTAGTTGGAGGGAGTGGTTCCTTGGGGCCTATATCTTTTCCCATCCCCTTTCTCTCTGCTTTCAGGCTGACATGAACCGAGCAGCTTTTCCTCCACCACACTCTTCCACCATGAAGCTCTGCCTCACCTTAAGTCCATGGGCTGAAACTTCTGAAACCATGAGTCAAAATAAATCTTTCTTCCTCTAAGTGGTTTAGGTGTTTGGGTCACAGTGATGAAAATCTGACTAATTCATCTACCCCAAACTCAACTATTCCATACACATTATAGTTATAATTTTTCCAACTTGGATTTTTATACTCTAAAGTCAGATTTCTGCACATTAGCTGATAAAGATTTTGAGCTATCACGTATCCTTCAGTTTGACTTTAGCAGCATCAGTATGCATTTTGCTCTTCCATTCTGTCAAATGAAATGAAAATGAGCAAATTGTCTTGAGACCTAGAACAGCTGAGTGACTGGTCAAGTGCATGATCCAGTGCAGCCCTTCTCAGTGTTGAAATCCAGGGAGAGAAGATGTCAATATTTCTTCACAAATGTTACAACTTAACTTCAAATTTGCAGATGTAATTGCTTGAGGGAAAATATATGCTGTGTAACTTTGCATTTGGTCTGCATAAAATATCCTGAGAAGAGGTTTTAATAATTTATTTATCTTAAGTTTGTGGGTTTTTTAAAGAATCAGGGTTAGTTGGCTTGTGGGCTGATACACTGTAACTCAGCCCCTATCCCAAGGAACACCTTCCATCTGGCTGCCCAAAGGTAGGGTGCCCACCACCCTCTTCTGACTGCAGGGTTGGTACCTGAGAGCTACATGTGGCCACTGCTGCTTGGTTTTATAAACCCAGACCAGTGACCTCCTGGGCGACAACTTTGCAATAACAATTCAGAACTCAGAAAAACATATATATTTACACTTTTTGAACACATCTACAGTTATTAATATCATTCATGACACCTACTGTTTGGAGTTTCTGTTATCCACCAGGAACCATGCCATGGTTTCTCAAAAGAAATTCTTTAATAAATTTAAATAAAATGAAACAACTGAGCCTAAGGAGGAGGATGTTATTTGCCAGGGTCACAAACAAAGACAGTCATTGGCTGACCAGTTTGATCTGTGACAAAATTTTTCCAAAAGCACCATACCCCACTGCATCAGCATACAGATGTTTTACCACTTTAAGCCATTATCTTTCTATAGATATAATTTACATTTCCATGGTTTCTCATAAATGTTGAAAAGATTTTTAACTGTCTTACCCATAACCTTGTTAATATCTTCAAATATCATTTCTTGATCAATTTCGATTTTTCACCAAGGATTTCATTTTACCTTCTGATTTTCCAAATGGCACTTTTTCAGTATAGGCATCAACTGGCAGATTTCACTCCACAGGTTTACACGAGTCTAAAAACTTTGATCCATTGTGGCAATATCCTAATGTCTCAATTGTTAAAATATTCTACATCAGGTTCGTCCATGATTGGTGGGATTTATTATTTATTTAATGCAACTTTAGATAATCTGCAGTTTCTCTGTCAGCCATTGACTGGGGAAGGCCCTTCAGATGGACTTGTTCAGGCCCAAGTGTTGGTTGAAGCACTTGAACTGAGTTGGAGCAGATCCAGCCTTTCTACACCCAGGGCTGAGGCCCTAGACCAAACACACATTCTCCGAACATTATTTGAGAGTCTTTGTAGGCTTCAGGACAGACTAAATATTCCCAGTCCTTGGCCTTGCAGACAAAGCTAGAGCCACTAACTTCTCAGACCCCCAGCTTCCTCCTCTCTCAGGTACAGGAGTAATTGTCTTGTTCACAGTGTTGAGTAGGAATCAAATGAGCAAGTGCTGACTTTATAGACAGCAAAGTATATGTGCATTAGTATTCTAGGCATGGTTCCCATTGTCTTAGTACTTAAGGGAAAAATGTATATTGATGTCAATACAATAGTCCCCTGCACCACAGGAATATGATCCACCACCACCAATAGAAGCCTGAAAACTCAGATAGTACCCACCCTACATAGGTTATATTTTTTCCTATATGTACATACCTATAATGAAATTTAATTTATAAATTAGACAGTAATGGTTAACAATAGCAAGGCATGGTGGCACATGTTTGTAATCCCAGTTACCTGGGAGGCCAAGGCAGGAGGCTCCCAGGTTAAAGGTCAGTCTAGGCAACGTAGTGGCACCCTGTCCCAAAATTTTTATAAAGTGATGAGGATGTAACTCAGTGGTAGAGTGCTTGACTAGTATGCACAAGCCCCGGGTTCAATCTCCAGTACAACAATAATCCTCCCTTGCATCTTTCAGTAAAAGAACCTTCATTATTGCCTGGCGCTCCTTAAGGACACTGTGACAGAGCAAGGGAACAGATCTGCTGTGTTAAGTTACAATCTTAGGGGAAATTCTCAGGTTTCTCTTCTGTTCCTAGGGTTTTTTAGGATTCCTTTGTGCATTGAGCCCTTTAAGACCCAAACAGGGCTGGGGTTGTGGCTCAATGGTAGAGTGCTCGCCTGGCATGCATGAGGCACTGGGTTCCATCCTCAGCACCATATAAATGTAAAATAAAGATATTGTGTCCACCTAAAACTAAAAAATAAATATTAAAAAAAAAAAGACTCAAACATGTGGGAGACGGGGTCTGTGTTTACACTACAGCCTGAACAGTTTACATATGCATGGCATTTTTCCCCTTTGACTCAGCAGATTTTATCTATCATCCATAAACTAAAAGCTAATGGTATTCACACTGAAGCTCTCATTTGTTAATGGCCAGCCTTTTTGTGCTCCTAAAAGGAATGCCCACACCACTTTTCTCCAAGAAGTCCCACATTCTGGAGCACAGATAGCAATCATCATTCTCGGCAGAGTAGCCACCAGTTTGCTATCTGGAAAAGTGCCTTGGGAGGCTAGGGATGTGGCTCAAGCGGTAGCCTGCTTGCCTGGCATGCGTGCGGCCCGGGTTCGATCCTCAGCACCACGTACAAACAAAGATGTTGTGTCCGCCTAAAAACTAAGAAAAATTAATATTAAAAGAATTCTCTCTCTCTCTCTCTCTCTCTCTCTCTCTCTCTCTCCCTCTCCTCTCTCTTTAAAAAAAAATCAACTCTGCTGTTATAGCACAAAAGTAGCCAATAATAAGTAGGCAATAATAAGCAAATAAACATGGTTCTGTTGCAATAAAACTTTAAAAAAAAAAAAAAAGAAAAGTGCCTTGGTCTTCTGCACCTTACTCAGTTCATGAATATGAGCCTCAAAAAAAAAAAAAAAAGGACACCCCCTCACCCTAAATGACCTACATTTGTAGAGTGTGGGTCCCTGTTGTTAGATTGCTGTGAACCCCTTCCTGACCTCCCTTCCATCTCTGTCTGGGTATGTCAGCCCACAATCCCTCTCTGGATGCGGCTTGTCTTCTTCACAGATGAAGGCTGTTTAATGACTCCTGCAAAAAGCAGTAGCTCTTACATGCTCACCATCTCCTGACTGGCGGATAAGAAAACAACCTTTATTGGGCTCCTCCCAGGATAATGACAGTAGTTTGCTGTCATTATCTCACTTGATCTTTGAGACAGTCCCATAGGGTTGACATTTCACCTCTTATAGATAGGCAAGTGGATTTCAGAGAAGTGAGTTAAGTCCTTACCCAAAATTTAAGGTCAGGAGTGAGGGGCATGATCTGTCCTTCATATCTGAGTGATCCTCCTACCTGGCTTTGAGAAGAGACTTTTCTTTTTGATTTGTAAAGTGCATGTCTGCATAGTTGCATACTAAAAAACAACACAGGAATCAAAGGACTTCAATAACCACTTAAAGAAATGACATTTCTTTGTTGTTTTCCAGTCAGTAAAATTGGCCTGGATGTAGAAGGAGAAAACTGTGGAAATGCAGAAAAGCTGGCTGAATATATTTGTTCCAGTAAGTAGAAAAATATCACCCCAAATGAAGCCCATTTGTGTTGTTTTTGACCTTTCACAACCATCACCTAGGGAAAAATACTCCTGGTGTGTTCTCAGTAGTAATGCTGATTGACAATCAGCTTGTAAGCCACTCCCGACCATAACCTGCTATATGTGTCTGGCTGTACTAATTTGGGATTTAGTCCACTTCCTTCTATACCAAAGGACTGGAGACAACTTGAACATTACACATAATATAATATTTGACAACTGGAACAGCAGAGAGGCCATCTGTAACTTCTAAGACAGCAGAAGCTGCTGGTGCAGATGGAGACTTTTTTCCATCTTGTCCTTTCCCATCCTCTGAGGTACTGCTTCCTTCTCTGAATTCCCTCCCACTAAAACTTGCTCCCAGGTGAAGAGCTGACTGTTTTAGAAAGCTCACTTTTGGGCAGCAGTAGGTAGACCTGGATTTAGAATGGGGCTGTTTCTAGGGATTTTGCATTTATATGAGGATTAAACTTTAACTTTAGGCCTTTGAAGGATGGCGGGGCAAAGACTTTTGTAGTGTAAGGGATGGAGAGATTGGATGTGCACATATCCTTCCTCTAGATTGCACCTCCCTTTCTCTCTTCCCATGCATCTAATCCACCCGCAGACTCAGGTTTCTCTTGCTTTATATTATTGAAGAGGAAGCCAGGGCCTCGCTCCTCGAGATCCTAGGCTGGCATATGTCATCCGTTCAGAACTGGTTTCTTAGTTTGGCTACTGCTACTCCTGGGATCTCTCTCTACCCACAAGCTACTTCTGACACCAGCTGTGTGAGGTTTTTCCTTATGCCAAACACCAGTTCTCTAACTCTCCAGATATGAGCTGGGCACTGCCCAAAGCTAGTGCAGACCCCACAGTTAAGGGTTCAGTCTTGCAAGACTGTCCAACTGGGCTATAGATCAGAGCTTCCCACAGCTCCCTTCTCAGGCTCAGTAACTTGCTAGAATTGACTCACAGAACTCAGGGGAACACTTACGTTAACAAGTCTGTTATAAAGTACGCAAGCATACCGGTAGACAGCCAGAAAAAGGGGCACATAAAGCAAAGACCAAACACAGGTGCTTCTTCCTGGCAAGGTTGGGGGACATTACCCTTCTGCATGTGGACGTGTTCCCTGGCCCCAGAGGCTCTCCAAACCCATAGTTAGTGGGTTATAAAGGTTCCACTGTGTAGGCTTCATTGTCAGTCATGGACCATTGGTGTTTGATTCAGTCCCTGGGCCCTTTCTCTTCCTTGGAGATCAGGGTGAGGGACTGAAAATCCTCTGATTACATGGTTGGCTCCTTTGGAACCAGCATCCATTTTGAAGCTGTCTAGGGCCACCCAGAGACACCTCATTAGCTTGCTTTGGATAATGGAAGATACTCTTCTCACGCCCGGTCACTCAGGAAGTTCCAAGAGTTTTAAAAGCTGTGAACCAGGGTGAAGGCCAAATGCATATCTCCTATTACACCACAGTGTCACAGAGGGGGTGTCCAAAAGAAGGTCAAGTAAAGAAAAGAGAGAACCAAAGGCAGGCTGCACTGTAGTTTGTGTTAGATGTTCTCCTGGGCTTGCAAAGTCCCTGCAGCCTGGCCAACTGGTTGGGCAAATTGTCTACTATCTTTGTTACTGAACCCAGGTTTGGAAGCTCATTATGGAAAAACTATCTCTGAGAGATGAGTGTTAGTGAGGAGGGCTTTAATCAGTGGCCAAAGAATAGAAGAGGATCAACTCCTCTATTCCTGGGAGTTGAGTTACAGATACAGAAAAGGAATAATGGGAGAGAGAGAGAGGGACTAATAAAGAAAAATAGGAGGAGATCTTCCAGCAACTGGGCCACCTCTTGTCACACCTTTCATGGTCTGATGTTTCCAGTCATGGTGGCTGGTATTGTCTTTAGCCTTGAAGTGGGGAGAGGGAGAGAGAGAGTCTAGGCAAATCTAAATCATGTTAACCCTATATTGGAGTTTTGGGTGAAACATTTCTCAAGTGATCAAAGTGTTTACATGCAGTAGAATTTGACTCAAAGGTTAAAGCAGCAGAGGAGACAGACGAAATATAAAGGCAGAGATGCCAATTAACTGACACAGGCTTGGTAAACATTCTGCCCTTATCTTGGGTGATACTGGTCTGCATTCTTTGCAAAGCCTTTGTTAACTTCCTCTAATTTATCACCAGCATGTCTGGGGGCCCTGATAAATCTTCCATTTGCAATTACAATATCCAAATAAAATCCAAGTTGACTGCTAATGAGGATCTTCACCTTGGTTTTATCAAAGCATTAATGATTTTCTCTTCCAACTTTGAAGACCAATTTCAAAAGCCAAAAAATCTACTTCCAATGCTGTGGTAAACAGTCTGATTCTTAGTTATTGCTTATTTATTTTAACTATGATTTACCATGAGACAGGCACTATTGTAAGCATGTGAAACTGATAAATTATTTAATCTATTAATGTGTGGAAATCCTCTTTCTCTCCCAGGTCATCTATTCTAATGGAAAAGCAATTATTACAAGTTAAATGGTAAAGTCTGGAGGACAGTTATAACTTGAAAAAGAAAGAAGAGGGAGAGTCAAAAGCATTACAGTCAGGCACGATGGCACACACCTGTAATCCCAGCAGCTTGAGAGCCTGAGTCAGGAGGATCGACAAGTTCAAAGCCAGCCTCAGAACCTAGTGAAGCCCTAAGCAACTTAGTGAGACCCTGTCTCAAAATAAAAAGGGCTGGAAATGTGGCTCAGTGGTTACTCACCCCTGGGTTCAATCCCGGTGCACTGCAGTTCATGTGGAATGTCCTCCTGGACTTGTAAAGACCTCGCAGCCAGGCAGGCTTGCTGGGCTCTTCTTCCATGCCCTCAACTGATCTCTGTATCCCAATTATCTGTGATCCAGGGCCCAGTGATTGCACTCTCTTGGAGGCCTGGAGATGGTCATAGTGTCACAGACAGGCACATTTTCTCCAGTGAGATGACATTATTAAAAAAAACCCATCTCCTTTTGTTTGCTACCTTCAGCTTCATAACACTCTCCTAAGTTTGCAGCATTGTTGCCCTTCAGCCCTGACAACCCAGAATGCCAGGCCTCCTTTCTGTGAGAGGAAGGGAGGGCAGACTTTGGACTGTACCAGTCACCATTCTGTGTTGGCTTTTGCTATTGTGTTGGTCTCTTCAGATTGGAAACCAGCAGTTTACTATTGCATTGCCCTGTTTAGGTTGAAGACAAGTCCACAGGCCTTAAGCTTTTCCCAAAAAAGAATGGATGGTCTTTGACTCCTCAAGGGGAACTAGCTCAGGAGATTTAACTGCAGCAGATGGCCCCTCCACAACAAAGAGTTTCCCCAGGACGTACTCAGGTCTTTCTATCATGTCAGTAGGGCCAGGCCTTTACAGTGAAGCCAGCTGAGCTGATTGGATCTGTGGGAGCCCTGAGTGCCTGCAAGCCAGACTCTGGGCCAGACACCTCTAGTGATGTGAGAGAGATAAGCACTCACCTCAGGGATCCCTGCAGCCCAGCCTCCTGAGTGCCATGGAGGGACTTCCAGCCATCTAGGAATCAGAGGATAAGAATGAGCAGCTCAGTGCTCCAGTGGGCCCTTGGAGGAAATATGGCAATGGGGAGATTCTTGAATCTTCTGAAGGTCCCTTGCATGCCTTTGGGGCTAGGCTTGCTGGAAAGTTAGACTTCATGTTTTGCTACTGGATTCCCACTGCTGCCCCATGGAGAGCCGTAACCCCTAGCATCCTGCACCCGCTGTCCCACCACACGTAGACAGGGAGGAATGCCTGGGCCCAGGTTAAGAAAACAGCTCCTGAACATGGCATCTATGTGTGGGAATCATTTCTTCACACTGGAAAAGAGAACTTAGCAGGCATCTGTGGTCAATACCTAACAATTTCCTGATTCTTTTATGTTGGAACTGATATTTACAGAGTATTATAGATGAAGAAAACATCCAGCAGTAGGAAGCTGTTATACATACTGACTTAGAGTAACATACATGTTCTAGTTGCTTAGCTGCTGCTTCATGGAGATGCTGCTGGGTGGGGAGAGCTTATTTTGCTCTATTCACCAAAAAACGTGTTCAGGGAGACCCTAAGGATATAGAAAAAATATGCAATGTCTGTTAATGACCAACACGCATTAAAATTTCTTGCATCTGGTAGACAGATGTGGGGGGAAACAGTTGATTCTACCAAAAGGCCTTTTTTTTTTCATATTTGGGGAAGATTCTGGTGTCTATAGCCCGTTAGTATTGTTGAATAGTAATGTTGCAGGTCAGCATTCAGATTGCCTGCTGTCATTGCTATTCTGCAACAATTTTAGAGCCAAAAACGTCCTCAGTCTTTGCAAAATAGAGATGGGGTGGAGGGGCGTGGTGAGAAGCAGGATCCTTCTGAGCATCTTGTCTCTAAGCCCTTTGGGCATGTGGTCTTATGGCTGCTGGCATAGCTAGGAGAGCAGTGGACAGGAAGCCTATCTTTGTTGGAAGTGGCTACAGCACCCTGACTGCCGGTTCCCTGCTGACTCCTAAGTGTGAGCCCTGACCCATCCAAGGCCTCCTCTAGAAGTGGAAAATCATCTCAATGCCAACACCACTGATCCTTACCTTTCTGACTAAGGTAAATTGCAAACTTGTTTTCTAAACAGTGCCAACAGGCCAGGAGCCACTTCAGGACCAGCGGGAGCAGGAAGTATGTAGAATAGCACCTTTTTTTCCTGAGGATGTTGGTTTTCTAAGCACCTTCACCACATACCTCTCATTATCTTCATATAATCGTCTTCAAGGTCAGCAAGGTAGCAGTTGCTCTTCCCACTTACAGATGCCAGAACTGAGATCCAGAAGCAGAGCTGGTCCTGGAGACCTGGACACCTTCATCCTCCCAGGAGCTGCCCTCCCCAGGCCCTGTGCACAGGCCTGCCCCCTGAATTTTTACAAAGTTTTTTAAAGTCTGGTTCTGTGTTTGCAGGAGAGTCACCAGCATTTCCTCTTCTCTTTCCCTGCGGAAACCTCAAAAGAGAAATCCTGCCAAAAATGCTGAAGGACAAAGGTGACTAAAGCACATTGACCACATCACTGGGGATAGTACCTTGAGACCAGGAGGTGCACATGGTCATGGAGAGGCAGAGCTGGGATGTAGCTGGAGCTCCTGACTCATAGTCTCTGCCAAGAGCTGTCCTTGGGCTTTGTTTCCTGGCATAAGCATCCTATCTGTGTGGAATTCATGGAGTGGCCAGAGACAATCCTGTATTGTCAAACTTACACAAACATGGGAGCAAAAGCACCTGTGTGTACAAAGGCTGTAGTTTTTGGGTCTTTATCCTTTCTCGGCCTCCTCCATTGTGGGGGCTGCTCCTCAGTGTTCAGCAGGCTTCAGAGGACTAGCTGGTCCTCTTGCCCTCAGTTCTGCCTCTCAGATTCTGAGCTCTTTGTTCCAGGAGGACTGTGCTGCACTGGGAGATCCCTACCAACTGCACACTGGGTGGTAGAGGTTCCACCGTGTTCCTAGGGCAGTAAAGTCTGTTTCCTTGTGTGTTTTTTTTTTAAATAATTTTTTAGCTGTAGATGGACATGATATCATTTATTTATTTATTTGTTTGTTTGTTTGTGTTGTTGAGGATCGAACCCATGGCCTCACACATGCAAGGCAAGCACTGTACCACTGAGCCAAAACCCCATCTCCTGTTTGCTTGTTTTGATTGTGCCTAGGAATTCAGATGGAAAGCATAACTGTCTATCAGACGATTCCACACCCAGGAATCCAAGTGAACCTGGACAGCTACTATTCCAAGCAGGTATGTGGTATTTCCAGGGAGACACCTGGCAGGACAGCCCCCCAACCCGCCCCTATGGTGAGAGTACAGGCTGAGTGGCATGAACTTGTAGATGCTGATTGTCTACATTGTTGCAGTGTTCCCAGATAAGTGACTTTGAGGAAGTGGCCTTTCCAAGACTCCATTTTGGTCTGTGAAAGGAATAGACTTATCTAGTAAATTTGTGGAAGGATTAATAAGGAGATAATTAATAAGGAGCTACTTAAGCAAACCTCTTTGTACAGCATTCAAGGTATATGCAAGCCTGAGGTGCATAGTGGCCTTGATGATGCCATTGATTTCCATCACGTGGGGGCAGAGGCTGAGCCCATGCTGGGAGGAGCCCTCTGTCGTGTCTGTACTGATTTTGGGAGGCCGAGGGCAGGAGAGTGGACAGCTCAGACTGAGTTGATTGATGTCTTTACCATTTGTATTCAGAAGACACCTCTGCTCTCCTGGGACAGGCTTCCTGATGCCTTGCCTGATTCTGGGGGTCCTGACAGGACAAACCAAATCAGAGACCATGCAGGCTGTCTGCTCCAACTAGAGGAGAGGTAGAGGTGACAGTGAGTCAGCCTGACTCAGTGCCATTGGACCACAGGCACTAGGGGCATTGTCCAGACTGCTGGGCCTGTGGGCTCTGTGATGCCCGTGTTCTCTGGCCAGACACAGCCCTGAGGGCCAGCAGAACAACCAAGGGGCCCTGTTCACCCACCTGTCTGATCACGGCCTGCTCTTTGAACAGTTCCTTACCAGAATTCTGCCTCTGTGGGGCAGAAAAATCACAACAAAACTGTGAACTACTCCTGGTTGAAGCTGCTGGATGCCTGTGCTTGGGGTGTTAGTGCTGATGGAGCCGGGGCAGGGGCATCGTCTCCCCTCAGTCTCCTGGCAAAGGATGGGTCTTGTTTCCTCTTCCCCCAGGGTGTCCCAGCCAGCATCACGTTCTTCAGTCCCTCCGGCCTTACATACAGTCTCAAGCATATTCAAGAGTTGTCTGGTGACAGCATTGATCAAATTAAGGTATAGTTTTTCTATGGGCTTTTGGACTTTTTCAAAAGATTAGTATTTGGGGGATTTTTGTTTTTGTTTTTCCTTCTTTGCTGCTAGGATTGAATGGGTACTTTACCACTGAGATACATCCCCAGTCCTTTTTTTATTTTGACACAGGGTATTGCTAAGATGCTGAGGGTCTCACTAAATTGCTAAGATTGGTCTTGAACTTGCTATCCTCCTGCCTCAGCCTCTGCAGTTGCTGGGGTTACATGTGTGTGCCACAAGGCCTGGCTTGTTTTGTTTTTGAATCTTCACTGATTGTGATAAGGTTTCCATATTAAGTCACAGCACCTTGGACAGGCCTAGCAGATGCCCATCAGAGAGCTCTATAGAGTTAGGAAGGTAATACCGTTTTCTGGCTGGAGCTCTGCCAGGTCGCTAAAACTCTTTGAAACAGGGGGATAATTATCTCTTTGTGGCCTGTGTGGACATTATCTGTATAAACATTGTTCTTCCCTGCATAGCACTAGTCCGGGACTAATGAGAGTTCAAGTGAAGTCCTTAGCTTGGTGCTGAGCTTAGGCTTGGTGCAACTTTTGGCATCCTTCCCTTCCCTTTTTCTTTCCCAGCTATCCACTAGCCATTTTGAAATAGTTACCTATTCTTTAAAAAAAAAATCCCTTTTTCATGTCTTTTAATGTTAAGGATTTCCATTCACACTTTTTTAGGGCTGGGGTTGTGGCTCAGTAGTAGAGCACTTCCCTAGCATGTGTGAGGCACTGGGTTCGATTCTCAGCACCACCTATAAATGCATAAAATAAAGGTCCATTCACATTTTTTCGGGACTGTATTTGTTACAAATTCACAACTAATCGAGGCCCTGTGGTGTCTATAAAGGACCTGCCCTTGAATTGGCCCAAAGCGGGTTGAGGAAAGAGGCTGCCAGCACCATTGAGTGCTCCCTGTCATCAGGGAAATGAGAAGCTTTATCTGCCTTTCACAGGTGCATCTTCTGTGGGGCTTCCCGACTACTTTTCCAGTTTCAGGGTGGCATGTTAGGGTCAGAGCTGTGCCCTGCCCTCCATCTCACCGCTAGGAAGAGTCACAGTTGGAACCCAGGACAATGTGTTTCAGGCTATTAACTCAAGCTGTTTAGAGTAGGTTACTGCTGGCATCATCCATGGCAATACATGATGGTAGTCCCAGGGCTGCTGGGTGGTGGGTGAAGCTCTTCTAGGTGTAGCTCAAGAGATTCTCAAGCCAGTCCAGGCCCAGGTATCCAGGAAGATTTGGGCAATTGTCCTCATCACAGGTAAGGAAACTAAGGCCCAAAGAAGCTGAACAATTTGCCCGACTCGTATCATGAATTACTAGGAGGCCCAAGACTCACATGTGGGTCCCTGAAAAGGGAAAAAAATCCTAAGTCTTGCTGTTAGAAAGAGGAAAGCAAGAAGACCCAGAAAGTGCTCAGTTGGTAACTGGCACATAATGAGCACTTACAACATCGGAGTGGGCCAGTAGCTGTTCTGCGCTGGCGCAGTTCTAGTCCTCATCCCTCCATGTCATGCTGCTGCTCTCATGGACCCCGAAAATGACCCTGTCTGAGTCATGCCACGGCTTTGAGATCCTGGGCAACCTGAACGGAAAGGTGCCACAGAACTCACCCAGGCTCCTGAGGTTTGTCTGCTTCATGGGGAACCTGACATTTCCATTCACACTTTTTTAGGGCTGGGGTTGTGGCTCAGTGGTAGAGCACTTCCCTAGCACTTCACCCTCTTTCTAAACAAACCTGTTTAAAAGCACAAATGGACCCTTGAAATCTCAAGTGAAACTCAAGCTGTTTAGAGTAGGTTACTGCTGGCATCATCCAAGACCACACAGCAGCTGGGGCCTGGTGAAGGTGCCTGACTTAGATTTGGCACAGCCCATTTCTCAGCCCCTTCAGACATCCTCCAGTTCTCAGCAACCACAGTCACCTTGCAGGTCAACATATCACGTACGAGTAGTTAGATGCCACTGGGGCCATCAGCACTGCCAGTGCTGGGAAGGAGAAGTAACAGAGATGACATTGTCAACAGTTCCTGGGTTGTTCCTGAGCCATGAAGTCTGTGTGCATCTGTGGACTCCTTCATCACTAGGACTTAGCACTGGCTCACAGGCACTGAGACCTGTGGGTTGGTGGCTTGGTCTTTCTGCCTCAGCTCGGCCCCAGATATGCAAGGTATTCTTCCTCTCTCCCGAGGAAGCTTTGTGGGACCCATTGTTTGTATACAGCTCTGCACAAAATGTGGTCATCTCAAAAAGTCAAGGGGGTAACTTCTGGCCTGAATTCACTACTTACAGTGACTTGGGAAGACCATACACAGGTCTGTAAATGCCACAAAGGAGTAATTTCAGAGCAGTAGGTGAGCCACTCATAACAACTACCACCAACAAACTAATCAGAGTGACTGCATTGCCTCGTTCCCACATGTCCCTCACAGTTGACTCACACGCAGCCTGTGAGGTGGCCTCTGTGACTGGAGGTCGCAGGCTGGCGGTAGCAGAGCTGGTTGGGAAGCAGGCTGCTGACTGCCACATGGAGCTGACTGACACACTCAGCTCCTATCAGTGGTCAGCGGTGGGAAGGAGCATTAGCACTGGGCTTCCCAGGGCCAGTGTGGGAAGACTGCATCCCCCATAGGGTGCTGTCCTGTGACCACTGATGCACCCACAGAGGAAAAGAGCTCAGGTGGAAAAATCACTCTGCAACCCAACTATTGGCCACTGTTGGCCACTCTTCTGTCACAGCTGCTCTGCTGAGATGTGTTGGCTGCTTGCTGGTTTCCAGTCTCAAGCAGTTTCTTTCTCCTTTCTTATGTTTTTAACCTCTTATTGAGATGTAATTACAAACCATAGCATTCACTACTTCACTAATTCAGTATGTGTACCTTCAGAGTGTACAAATCAGTGGTTTTGGTCTATGCCGACTAAAGCTGAGCTGTGCCGTGCTGTCATTTGCTTACCCCTCATAGGCGTGATGTACCGAAAGGCGCTGGCTGAGGCTCTGTCTCTTCCCTCTTTGCAGTTTGCAGCTATTGGCCCCACCACAGCCCACGCTCTGACTGCCAAGGGCCTGCCTGTGAGCTGCACAGCAGAGAGCCCCACGCCTCAAGCGCTGGCTGCTGGCATCAGAAAGGCACTGCAGCCCCAAGGCTGCTGCTGAGTCAGCTGTGGCCCTGGCCCCATGTGGCCTTCTCCACCTGGCTTCTTCCCCATGGGGGAAGGCAACATCAGATAGCGGCTCTGGAGAAGCTGCCACCATCAAACTCCTACCTCATTCCTGAACGGAAGCACCTGGATGGGAGGTGGGGTCAGCCCGGGGCCAGTGTCAGGCCTCCTTGCATGTCATTGCCCTCCATGAAGGCCAGCTTGAAACCAGCCAGGTGCATGTGGTTCCTGGACTGTGCAAGAGCTTCCTGTGCCCAGCAGGAAGGAAATCAAATAAAGCACACTGGCTGCATGTGCCCACCGAGTGTGTGTCTCAACTCAACCTGTGTGGTTTTCAGTGCAAAGCTGTGTTCAGAGGGGGGAACAGATATGCCCACCTCCGTTGACTGACAAGCCTGGTATTAATGATAAAATTTGCTGTGTATGAAAAAAAAAAAGACCTTCAAGTTCCTGCTTGTGAGCTGTGGTCAACTGGGATTCAAATAGAATTTTTTTCTTTTTTCATTCAGAAATGTAACTACAGCACTGCTCAGTTAGACCAGCTGGCCCCTGGCATCTAGAGGCTGGATTTACTTAGAAATGTAGTGTCCCTAGAGAATCTATCTCCAAACTCTATTTCCACTCTTTAATACTGCCCTGTATTTGAGCTGGGTTAAGGAGACCCACATTTGTTTTCTAATAGCCTATAGCGGGAAAAGGTCACTATGCCCTTGGGATTCTTGTCTCCTTGAAAGATCAGGTTGGAATGATCTTATGCTGGGCACCTACCATGCCCCGAGGAAAGGGAAAGCTTTATGCCTGTGACAGTCCTCATAACAACCTTGGAGGGTGGGCATTGCTATCATTCCTACTTTTCTGGTGTAAAAACAGGCTCTTCAAGAGGTGAGAATACATGTTCAAGGTCATAGCTAGTAAATGATTAAAAAAAGACAAATTTAAAAGACATTTATGAATGCAGCACAAGGGCCAGGACATCTCCTGTGGTTCTCCAGATCTCTAGACCTCAGTGTGACTTGACACTTCACACTTGTGACTTGATACTTGACATGGTTTGAATGTGTCCCCAAAGCTTCGTGTGTTAGGAGCTTAGTCTCCAGTATGATGGTGTGGGAGCTGATGGAACCTTCAAGAGCCAGGTCCTGGCAGGAGGTCCTTAGGCCACTGGGGTGTGCCCTCAAAAGGGGTTGCAGGACCCCACTCCCTCCCTGGCTTCCTGTCTTTGTTCCCTGCGTGGCTTCCCATCCCTGCCATTCGACTGAGGCAGTGTAGCATGAGGGTGTCCTCGTAAGAGCCTGGGCATGTGTTTGGACTTTTAGACTCCAGAACTGAGCTAAATAAACCTCTTTTATTTCTAAAGTTAGCCTGCCTCTAACATTTTGTCATATACACTTGTACAGAAATTTTGCAACGAAGGCACTGTAATGCCCCCTGGTTTTCTGCCCAGACATAGGTAGAACTGTCCCCTTTCCTGATTTGAAAGTCAAACCTAGAATAAGTTTACAATCTTCCCTTTGTCAAGGAACCCTTTTCTACAGAAGTTTCTGTTCTTGGGGAAGAACCCAGCTCCAGCAGTCCATGCTGAGGACTCTGGCAGCACTCTAAGTTCCCTCAGCAAAGGAAATCGAGGGACCAGACTCCAAGAGCCTCCATGATGCCACTTGGCATCCTTGGCTATGCAGGAGCCCACTGTGCCAAGGGCAGGCATCGAGGTCTTGAGGCTATTCTCCTGGTTTAATGTCCCCTTCTGGGACTAGAGATGGTGAAACCAACCTTAAAATATTGCAGATTTCAATGTGGCTCTATTATACAGATAAGACAAGTCTATCACTTGTGCCACAAAAGACTTACCCCGGGGATTGACGAATCCTGAACTGGATGAGATGAGGTCACGTGCAGGAGGTCAGAGCAGCACCAACTTGCCTGAAGAGCTTCTTTTTTCACTTTTGTTAGAAATACCGAGGTGCCACAAGAAATCACACACGCGTTCAAAAGTGTACAACCCAGACAGCTGCAGTCTCCTGCTTCATGTTTCCTCCAGGACCAAAAAATTTTGTGACCTCATTCTTATAATATTTCAAATAATTTCTTGGCCATACTCCCAAGCATGGCTTTCAAGGTGTCCCAACTTGGGCTGATTAGCCTTTCCCCCATGCCTCCTGCTGCCTATACTCAGCCACACTTGCCTGAGTGTGGCCATCCACAGCAGCACAAAGCCAACAGCATACACAGACACAAATAATTTTAAGGAACAAGACCCTTTAGGAATGAATTCCTCAAGTCTCCGATCTCTGTCTTAGTGCATTTGTGCTGCTATGACAAAATACCTTAGTAATTTTTAAATACTAAAAATTTAGAGTCTGGGAAATCCAAGATCAAGATGACAGCAAGTTCAGTGTCTCATGGAGGCCTGGTCTCCTCTTCAAGATGGCCTTGAATTTTGTCCTCACATGCAGAAGGGATGGGAGGGCAAAGAACCAATGCCCTCTGAAGCCTCTTTTATAAGCATAACAATCCATTCACACAGCAGAGCTCTTCTGGCCTAATGGCCCCTGAAAGGCCCTCCAGTTTGACACTTGCTTTGGGGGTTGCTTTGGGGGTTACGTTGCAATGTTTATTTAGGAGGGGACACAAACATTCAATCCACAGCAAGCCCTAGGAGAGACCATCCTATCCCCAGGAGGGATGGCTGTCATGCAGGGTTTAAGGTCTGACTTTGAGAAGCACAGACTTTGGCCAGAGCTAGCAAAGTGGGAAGGACTGCCAGCTCCATCTTCTCTGCTGGTCAGAACACAGCTGTGCATGGATCTTGGAGATGTCCAAGCTCCTCACGAGCACCACTTCCCTTCCCAGTGTCACAGGTGTTGCCGTGCTGCTGAATTATCAAGTGTGAGACAAACAGATCCCCTGGCACTTAGTCCCCTTCCCCCTAAAGCCCCTGTCCTGGGTCCCGGTGAGGGTTCCTGGGCTGCAGAGCCATAAGAGCAACACAGAAGGGTGCAGGGGGCTAGGAAGGTTCCCACTTAGGAAACCCAGGCTCCACCCGTCTCAAAGCTCCACAGAGATTCCTTAAGATTTAGTCTCAGGAGATTCCTTAAAAATTAGTCTCACTCCACCAAAAAGTTCCATGCAATTTAGAACAAAATCCAAACAGCTCCCTTGCCACACAGGTCTTTCCCCTGGACCATCCCCTGCTCTCCTTCCCTCCCCTCCCTTCACTCAGGTCCAGCCACGCTGTCTCCTTCCTTCTTGTGTGCTACGGAATTGCCCAGCTGGTTCCTGTGCAGGGCCTTTGCTCCTGCCCCTTGCCTACAATGCAACCTTCAAGCCTCTGTGCCCAGATCTCATCTTCTCACGATGCCTTCTGCCCTCCCGGATATTACTTCAGGTAGGAGAATGCAGTGCTCATCCACGTGCACATCGCCAGAGTGCTGAGATTCTCAGGTATCTGCAACTTGGGGAAGGAATTCCCTGAGGATGTGGCAAACACAGGAGGATGAGGAGAGAGTTCTCATACTAACAAGAAGGGTGGCCCTGGGGTCTTCAAAGGCAGCCTGCCAGGGCTGCTGAGCGGCCTCTCAGAGGGCACACTTCGAGACTGGGTGAGAAAGCTTGTTTGCTCATAAAAGCGTTCCAGGCCCTGCTCATTAAGGAGGAGAGACGGGGGCAAAGCAAGACAAGAGGGCCAGAATCCAGGCTGGGCCATGCTGGCTTTCTCTGTCTTGTGTCCGACACTGTTGCTCAGCTGCCTGGCTGTCCCCTGGCCTGCCCAGGCAGAGACCCTCTTCCACAGCCGGGACCGCTCGGACCTGGAACCATCCCCGCTGCGCAGGGCCAAGCCCATCACTGACCTCCATGCTGCTCAGGTAGGAGAAAGACTCCAAGAGTAGCATCGTCCACATGCACATGATGTGTGGACACGTGTCCACAGACAGGGCATGGCTGCAGACCTTGTGGGGAGCAAGATTTCCATGGTTCTAGCAGGACATGGCTCTGTGCTTAACCTGATGTTCACTATTGGTTTTTGCAGTGCTGGGCTAGATCCCAGGGCCCTGTGCATGCTCAGCAAGCGCTCCACCACCAACCACACTCTAACCCAACCTAATGTTGATTGACAACCCCTGGGTCAGCCTCTAGTCAGTGATTAATGTTGCCCTGTGCAAAAGAACCACAGACTTGAATATCATTGCTTTTCTAAATGCAAGCGAGGTAGTAAGAGGCTAAGGCACTGTTTGAAGAGCGCTCTCTGGAGAAAGGGACAGCTCTAGCAAAGACGCCCTACTGCAAAATCTAGGATCGTCAGCAGAGCCATCTGAGGGTGGCATCCATTGACTCTGCTGGAGCTCCACCATGACCTGGACAAAGGCTCTCATGAGATTTCTTCATGACATGGGTTGGACAGGGAGCGTGACCCTGCAGTCCTAGTGGTCACTATACTCCACAAGCAGATGATCAGAATCTCCCACATTAAGCCCTGGATCTGGTGTTCCTGAAGGTGGAGGGTCTTGAGAAGGGGGCTGGCTGGGTCTGCTGTGGCTGCCAGGACCAAGGGCTGTGATGCTCCCTCCCCTCCCTGTGCTGGGGTGGAATTTGCCACTCCCAGGCCCCTCACTTGTAGTCTCTAGCACCTGGGCCAGACACTGCAGCCTCCCCTATTTATATCCCATGACCTCAGTGCGCTTCCTCCAGTCCTGACCCCTCATCTCCCGACATGCCTCTCCTCCTACCATCCCCACTCCCACCCGGCCTGCTCCAATTCTGCCCCTCCTCAGGCCACACGGTGCCAGGATTTCAGCCAGCCCAGCCAACCCCCTGCACACTGCCCTCACCTTCGGCTACTCTCTCCACGCCCTGTCTCCCTCCCTCTGTCTCTTTCTTCTCCCTCTATCTCCTTTCTGTCATATAGTCCCTGGTCAGGGCAGGCATGGGGCAGTGGGAAGGCCCTGCGGGTGGCAGCCCCTTGGACTTGGGTGCATTTCTCTCCCACAGAAGTTCTTATCCAGATATGGCTGGTCGGAGGGGCCTTCAGCCTGGGGTCCCAGCCCCAAGGAGCCAGCAGCAGCCCCTGTGGGCCCCACCCTGGCCGAAGCTGTGCGCAGGTTCCAGAGAGTGAATGCGCTGCCAGCCAGTGGGAAGCTGGATGCAGCTACCCTGGAGGCCATGAACAGGCCTCGCTGTGGTGTCCCTGACACCCGGCTGCCAGCCCTGTCGACCCCTTCAGACCCACGGCCCAGGGCCCGATCAAAGCGATTCCTACAAATGCTGCTACCCAGGCCAGGTGGGCAGCAGGAGGACTCCTCAGACAGTGGGGCCCTGAGGGCCTTCTCCAAAAAGACCCTGACCTGGAGACTGGTGGGCGAGGCCTACAGCAGCCAGCTCTCTGTGGACGAGCAGAGATACATCTTCAGACTGGCCTTCAGGATGTGGAGTGAGGTGACACCGCTGGACTTCCGGGAGGATCTCACTGCTCCTGGGGCCACAGTGGACATAAAACTGGGTTTTGGGAGAGGTAATAAGGGGCAGGTTCAGGACCCCCCACGCTTCCTGCCCACTCTGCAAGCACACACCTTCGGCCTTTCCCTCTGGGTTCCTCACCTGCATGCTGGGCACTGCGCTTCCTGGAGTCAGTCCCACCCTGGTTGCCTCAGTCACCTGCAGAAAGGTGGTGCAACTGCTCTCCCTGGCTTGTTCTGAGGTGACACCCAACAGGGAGAGGCAGATGTAAGCCCTCTATTAATGTTACCATCTTAGAACTTACCAGAAAAGGGATGGACCTGTCACCTAGCAGGGCACCTGGAGTGGTCACAGGGGACACCAAGGCCAGCCTGCTCCCCTCAGAGGAGGTGGGCCCATGGGTGCAGGCCAGCTGTAGGAGCTTGCTCACCTGGAGCATTCAGTATGCCACCAAGACTCCACACACGCGCCCCTCCCTGGTCCTGTGGAGAAGCCAAGGGTATATAACATTGACCTGAGTAAGGAGATAGCCAGGGTCACCCACAGGTACCACCAACTCTTAGCTGGTAAGATTTGGACAAATATCCTAACATCTCTGTGCCCCGTGTGTGAACCAGGGCAGCTCCTGGCTGTCCTGGTCTTGCTGAATCAGTGTCTCAGTGAGAGTGCATGGGGCACGGTTTGTTGAAAAAGCATATAAGGGACAGCGACCTTCAGGGACCTTCCAGCTGTCAGGACCCAGTTCCAGTGCCCTCCCCTCCGTGAGCACTTCAGACATCACCCATCTCCCCGTCCCCACACTCCTCTCCCTGCTGCTCCCAGCTTTGGAACCTGCTCCTTTGCTATAGTCTGTACTTCATGATGAGTTTGTAGATGACCATGGCTCCGCACTCCTCCTCCTGAGCTCGGCACTCCTCCTCCTGGCGGCAATTAACCCAGTTGTGGCCATGCCCGCTCCTGCCCCTGGTGCAAGCTCCTGGAGGCTGACTGCTGTCAAGTCTGTCTGGTTAGGTAGGGAATCTGCAATGGGCACCCCTCACTCACCAGAACCACTCTGTCCCCTTGCCAGGCCGGCACCTGGGCTGTCCTCGGGTGTTTGATGGGAGCGGACAGGAGTTCGCACATGCCTGGCACCTGGGCGATATTCACTTTGATGATGATGAGCACTTCACACCACCCACGAGTGACACAGGCATCAGCCTTCTCAAAGTGAGTAGCTCATGCTGCTCTACTGAGCAGGAAAGGGCAGGCAGCACGGGCCCAGTGTGAAAGCCAGGGCCTACCACGGCATGTGCATGCCCTGAGGTGGCTGGAGGGTCTGGGGATGCTTCCTAGTTCTCACCATGTTCCCCTTTTCCTGAAAAAGCACAGCACCAGTGAGGCACAGGCCTGTCCTCTGTAATTCAGGGACCAGTCCCAGTGGTACTCAAAGGCCCAGGATTGGCCCTGCACCCATGGTTTGTGTTGCCCTCCTAGGTGGCTGTCCATGAAATTGGCCATGTCCTCGGCCTGCCTCACACCTACAGGATGGGATCCATAATGCAACCAAATTACATTCCCCAGAAACCTGCGTTTGAGCTGGACTGGTCAGATAGAAAAGCAATCCAGAGACTGTATGGTAAGACAGCTCTTGGGCCGGTTCTCCCCAGAGCTCCCAGAGGACACTCAGGGTGCCAAGACACACCAGGACCCTGCTTGCCGCTCAGTGAGAGGCAGGTCCCCAGGGAGCACAAAGTTCCACTAAGTATTTGTCCCCTAACTCCACGGGACAATTTCCTTAGTTAAATGTGGCCCTGCTCTGACTGCAGCCACAGGTGAAGGACACAGGTAGGCAAAGCACACTCCCCGTGGACAATCCTCCAGCCCTCTCCTCCACATGCCGCCTGTGTTGGCTGGGAGAAAGGCTGACCTGTGCCTCAGTATCACACAGGAGCACCAAGGGGAAGCCACTGGGAGCTTTCTAGCAATTCTAAGGCAAAGAACTGATTAAGCTTGCAGCGGCAGCTTTAATTTTTATTTAGTTGTTCAGGCTGAGGTACTTATGGGTCATTATTTAATGAAAATGATCAGTGATTTAACACAGATGCCCAAGGCAAGGAAAGCTAGGCTTCCCCTTCCCATGTACAGGAGCCTCACGGAGACCACCCTGTTTCTGTTCTTGGCACTCAGGGCCTTTGGAGACAATGGAAGCCAGGACACACTTATTTCCCCAGTGGAGCTCTTCCTCTAGCGTGTGCCCAGAACCAGAGGGCCTTCCTCTAATGAAGTCAGACTGGCCATCAAAAGAGAAATCAGGTGGTCATAAAACTTGGCATTCAGTCCAAGTCTGAGAGCATTATGAGCAACTCGTGTGGCTGGACTCTTGCAGGCAACCTGGGTCCCTGGTTCTGCTCAGCCCACGTCTAATAGCAGATGGTGTCTTGCTTTAAGGTGTGTCAATAGAAAACCCCAGATTTGCAATTATCTCTATCCAGTCACACCTGAAAGTTGACATTTGTACCATGTGACAGGTGGCCGGATTTTTCTTTTCAGGTTCATGTGAAGGATCATTTGATACTGCATTTGACTGGATTCGAAAAGAGAGAAACCAATATGGTGAGGTGATGGTGAGGTTCAGCACCTATTTCTTCCGCAACAGCTGGTACTGGCTTTATGAAAATCGAAACAACAGGACCCGCTATGGGGATCCTCTTCCAATCCTCACTGGCTGGCACGGAATCCCAGCACGAAAGATAGATGCGTTCGTCCACATCTGGACATGGAGAAGAGACGAACGTTATTTTTTTAAAGGTAAAGATTCTTCATGGGTGGCCTCATTGCTCTTTTTTAAAAAAATATTTTTAGTTGTCTATGGACTTTATTTTTTATTTATATGCAGTGCTGAGAATCGAACCTGGTGCTTTACATGTTAGGCAAGCATTCTACCACTGAGCCACAACCCCAGCCCTCGCCATTTCTCTTAATAAGAGAAATGCATTCAGAATAAATGTTCTAAGTCCCTACCATGGAATCTATTGTAATGCTCTGGTAATTACTTGCTTGATTCCAGTCTGCCCCATTGGACTGCGAGCTTTGTGTGAACAGGGGTTGGGTCGTGTCCCTGATCTTTTACAAGAAGGCACTTAACGTCATTGAATGGATGTGTAAAGAACTTTGCTAGACACTTGAAGTAGCTGACAAAGCACTGTTACCTGGTTCTGGAGGAAAAAGGATGCCCTGGAAGGCTAGCAACACAGGCATAATTCCAGGGGGCAGGCCGAGCAGGGAGGTGACCACTGCCACCTGGAATCCATGCTAGTATTCCAGAAGTCAGGACTTGCCCTGGACTAAGGATGGGAGAGATCCGGAATGCCTAGAGGAGGGCACCCAGACTGCAGTGTGGGTGTGTGCAGTGGCCAGAGACAAGCAGCAGGAGTGGGGAATGGAAAAGGCTCATCTGTGGACTCCATTGAAGGGGGACAGGGGACCCACATGGGATGAGATTCTGAGAAGACTGGTGGTCCGACCTTGGAGAGCCTCAAATGGAGTAACCAGGGTCTGGACTTCATCCAGCAAGTAGCAAGGAATCAATTTCTGAACAGAGAAGAGCAGTGTTTTGCAGGAGGTGATTCGGCCAGGGTGGGGTGACCATGTGAAGAGCAGGTTGGGGCTGTCTTGCTGCTGTTCTCCTTATTCACAAGCCACCCTGTCCAGCATCTCCACACCCAGCTCATGCAGACACGCTGCTTCGCAAACCCAGTGGGCTGCAATCCAATCCCAAACGTGATGTTGTGGCTCCTGCTCTTTCCTTTGCAGGAATGTTGTGTGTACCTCTTGAACTTGAATCTCAGTGATCCAAACTATGCTGCATTAAACTGCTCAGAGTTAACAAAGCAAGAGCTGAACTGCGAGAACGTCATATGCAAACTTTATTATCAGGATCCTATGTCTAGATTTGGTCTTTAGTTCCCTTCATATCACACAAGATTTTTTCAGTGCTTTAAAGAACTTACATTGGCAACAAGGAGTCAGTACAGAATTAGGTCATGATGGGGGACTGCTTTAAAAACATCTTTAATTTGCTGTAAATATTTTAAATTCTAAAAAATCCCAGTTAGAGTGAATTGCTGCTCCACTGGGACATCTCAGTGCCAATTGTAGTGCGTGTGTGGTTGCTAAGGGATGTCACTACTTGAGTACGCCATGAGTTGTGCAAACAGATGTGTCTAACTCAGCAGATTTATTTATTCTATTGTGTGCTGACAACAGGTCATATCTTTACGAACTAAAAAGGAAAGCCTAGAATAATCCTCTCCTGTTTCAGAGCATTAAATTAGCATTTGAATGTTAAAACAAAATTAACCGGAGTATATTATTTCTCAGGATAGTGGGTCTGGGTGGACTCTGAATTTGCACAAGTCACTTCGAGGCTCTACTCCAGTTTCCTTATTTGCAAAATGGGGATGGAGAGACAGATGGTTAAAAAACACTGGAAAAGGTATAACCCAGGAATAAGCATCGGGATTTCTTCTGTTAAGAGACCTTGTATCAATTAGAGTAGGAAAGTGATTCTGGGCCAACACGTGGGCCACTAACATGCAAAAGGACATTGTTGGACCATGAAAGAGGAAAAAAAAATCAAGATGCTCAGGTGAAAGAGACCACATTTTTGAGAGCCAACAGGACGATGTGAATAGATCAGGGCTCTCTGTGAGACACCATCAACAATCTAGTTGCAGCAGTGTCAAGTACAGAAAACGTTATTGGGGTCAAATTGAGAAGTCATCCAAAACCTGGGAAAACCACTGAGACTTCAGTAGGTGCCACAAGCCCAGCTTTCTCTGGGAATCTGGCAGAGCATATGCAGAATGGGCTGGGCCTGTATAGGAGGCTGTCCATCAGGTTTCCTGTGATTTAAAAGCCATATTTGTATTTTTGGTTGACACTCAGGAAATCAATACTGGAGATATGACAGTGACAAGGACCAGGCCCACACAGATGAAGAAGGAAGAAGCTACCCCAAACTGATTTCAGAAGGGTTTCCTGGCATCCCCAGTCCCCTGGACACTGCCTTTTATGACAGAAGGCAACAGCTAATTTACTTCTTCAAGGTGTCCTTTGTAAGTAGCACTGCTTCTGTATTCCCGTCTGAGATGTGTCGAATGAACAAAATTCTCAGTTGAAAGCTGTTCTCCTTGCTTCAGGTCTAACAGCAGTGGCAGATCATTAGGTGGAGAACTATTTAGAACTTCAGGTCTAAAGAACTCAGTGCACAGTTGGATGTAATTAACTCACTGCTGAAGTTAACCTAAATATCAATGAACTTCAGAACAGTCTTACTCTCTAATTTGTTTGCAGGTATTTGCATTTGATGTCAACAGAAACCAAGTACTGAATTCTTATCCAAAGAAGATTACTGAAGTTTTTCCAGCAATAAGACCACACAACCATCCCTTTAGAAATATAGATTCAGCTTACTATTCCTATGCACATGGCTCCATTTTCTTTTTCAAAGGCAATGCCTATTGGAAAGTAGTTAATGACAAAGACAAACAACAGAATTCCTGGCTTCCTTCTAATGGTGTATTTCCAAAAAGGTCTATTTCAGAGAAGTGGTTTGATGTTTGTGATGTCCACACCTCCACACTGGACATGTAATGAGGAAAACTCAAACAGGGTAAGATTTTTTTCGAAGAGAAAAAGTCTGACTTCTTTTACAAAGAAGTGAATATAGCTCCCCAAGTTAAAATCAATGGGAAAAAAAAAAAACAAAACTTGCTTAAACTTTTAAAATATTTGGTTTTAAGATCAATTGCTCAGGCAAAACCAATCAACTGCCAAATAATTTTATTAACTTTTCAGAAAATCTCCCCCCCACACACAAACAAGCACCCTGAGGCAGCCTCACATTTGCTTTCGGTTCTGCGTGGAACTCTGCAGCTGCACCCCAACAATGCACCCAGCCCTGCTGCACGGGGATGGGGAGGCTGCCAGTGCCATGGCGTAAGTGTATGCTTACTGCACTTAAAACAATGTGATGGGAAAAGCCACAGAATTTGAATTAAGTACCAGCTGCAGTGGTACATGCCTGTAATCCCAGCAGCTCAGGAGGCTGAGGCAGGAGGATCTCGAGTTCAAAGCCAGCTTCAGCAACTTAGTGAGGCCCTGTCTTAAAATAAAAATCTAAAAAGGGGCTGACGATGTGGCTTAATGGCTAAGCACCCCTGGGTTCAATCCCCAGTAACAAAAAACCCCATATATATATTATATATGTAGGTACATACATATGTATGTACATACATACACACACATATACATATACCCACACACACACACACACACACACACCCCTCGTCATAATGATAGGTGAAAGTATATGAAAGGTTTTCACATGTCTGTCTTGATCTTCCTGCAAGGCAGGACAGACACAGTGAATGTTTCCAGCCTGAGATGCTGAAGTTCACTTGTTAAACCTGTGATGGCCTCTGGCCCTGACACCAGCTGTGCTGTTTGCACACATAGGCCTGCATCTCATTGGTCCTGAACAGAGGAGCTTTTGTCTTGCTGAAATTCATTTGGTGTTCTACTTTCCCTGCAGAGCAACAAACACTTGTGTGATAGTCAGACCACCAAAATAGAGCTCTGGGAGCTAGTTGGATAGTTTTATTTTCTCCATATCAGTTATATTTAGGACAGGCATGATGTTCCTTCAAGTTTAATATGCATAATATGATATTTTTTGGTGGTACTGGAGATGGAACCCAGACCTCATGCATGCTGGGCATGAGCTCTGTCAGTGAGCCACATATCTCCAGCCCTGGCTGTTAATTCTTAACACACACCACACACACACAGGGAAAAGGAAAAAAAAAGGAAGAAAACCATAATCCCATATGTAATGATGTGGGCAAAATTTGGCAATGAAATTAACTGAAAGATGCAGTAGCCTCAGTGACCAGGACACAAATAACCACATTTCTCCTAATGGAACATTTAAAACAGAGGCACTGTAAGAAGCTTTAAATTAAACCCAGCAAATTACAAATATATTTAAAAAGGAATTTTTTATTCCCTCTGTAGAAATCTTCATGTCATTGTTTTGACAAAAGAAGACAGAATTTATATTTTCTTGCTTAAAAACAATTTTCCTCTCAACTAAAAGTCTGTTTAGCTAAGGGGAAAGGATAGGAGACAAGAAAAGTAACCCTAACATCCCTAACTCCAGCTCGTTCTACCCAAGAAGGAAAATCCTTTTTGAATCCATGAACCCAGAGGGCGATATAACCACTGGAGGTGCCCCGGGCTAAAGAGCAGAGGGAAGCAACACTGTTCTGTGTGGACTCCAGCTGCCAGGGAAAGAGAATGAAGCCCTGCCAGAAGGAGACACTGCTGATTTGGAGCAAATGCTTTAACCACTTAGGCAAAACTTTAAATGCTTCAATGATTAACTTTTGTAAACTGATGCAAATCTGTCCCAAGAATGATGTAAGTCAAAGAACTAGACAAATGGTAAAAGAGTTCTGCCAAGCTGATAGGTGTCAATTCATTTTCCATGAAAACACTCAGGATTCTCTATGTAAGGAACAAGCAGTTTGTGAAAATTTAGCTTGAAACCAGTTTACTCCAGACAACTTTGTGGTGGAGCTTGGATTCTTTCAGGTGTGGTTGGTGTGGAGGGGCTGCTGGTCAACACAGAGGAACTGCACAATGAAACCAACCATCCCTGGGCCTGAAGGGGCAGGTGACATCCATTCCTGCCACTGAGCCCAGCCAGCAGGCTTGTCATAACCACAGTCAGTGGCACAGGGGCCCAGACTCTCACCACCACATGAAAGAATCCGACTCCCACGTTACACCATTTCTTGAAATTGAGTATTGATCATAAGGGACAAGTACAGCCTTGTATACACTGGAGGCTTTGTTGGGCGGGGAAGTGTATGTATGCAATCAGACAAGACCCACACACAGCAAGGAGTAAGTGAAATATTCCAGTGAAAACTGAGTGGATGGCAAAGTTTTACTTTTAACGTTATGATCTTTATTTTGTAATTATTAAACTGAGTTCAAATCACAATTTAATGTGAGGAATGAAAAAATGGAAAATAAGATATTTTAAATAAATAGTTTATTCAAAATAGTTTTGTTTTTTACCTTATTCACAGTTTCAAGTTTAAAATGAAAAAGGAGGGGAGGGGAAATAATACTATTCCTGATCAACTGTCATATAAAGTTGAAGAAAAGTGAATCCCTTCAAAACATGCATTAAATATAGAGTAGTGCACAATGGCTAGTCTTCAAAACTCCTGCACTGAAATTCACAAAGGGGACGCTCTTGTGCAATTTGGAAGGAAATATTGTAGATTTATAGGAAGTTTCTTTAACCCATTTGAACCTGTAATATCATTTGGATAAAAGGTTCTCTTGGTGGAAGCAACATTTTATCCAAAATAATATCTTAAACCTTTGTTATCCAAGATACTTCAAAAATATCTGAAAGTATAATTGCATAACAGAAAGTCTATTAATATTGAGGTACCATGTACGTCTCATAGAAATAAAAGCTGAAGCTTTCAGTTCAGTTCTGGCTTTAGCACTTCAAACGAAGAAGCCAAAGAACTCACCATTGTCTGTCTGTCATGAGAAATAAGTACATGCCTGTTTCAAATGGGTATTTCCTCACATTTAATGAAACTCAGCACCGAATGGACAAAGCCACTCCTGTGGTCAGAAGGCACTGTCAGCACGTCTGCAGACGCAGCTCTGCGCGAGGTCACTGAACGGCGCCGCTGCTTACTCCGCTGCCCCCATGAGCAAGCTGCCCCAGCAAATGGATGATGACATCAATTCTTTCCAAAAGACTTGCACTTTTGTTTGCAGTAGCTCTCAAAAGCTGGGAGTAAATTTGCTTGTTGGATTTGAGAAGTCCATCTTCTTCAATGTTATTGCTGGGGTCCCCCCGCCAAAAAAAAAAAAAAAAAAAGGACAACAGGTGAAGGGCACAGTGAAGGGATCTGGAAACAGTAACAGCACAGCAGTGGTGCTACACAGAGAAGCAGGTCTCCCAGTGCCTCCCCATACCTACCGTCTATCTTCTGTTCCTAGACCTGTCTTGACACTCATGTCAATACATCAACTAAAACTGAGTTAAAGCCTTTTATCTGTTCACGTCCTCTGCCAGGAACTGCTCTTGGTAGTGAACCAAACGGACAAAAGTCCCTGTTTTGTGTGAGGGGTGGTGGTGGGACACTGGGAGAAGATGTACAGTGGACAACTATGCTGGGGATGCAGCTCAGTGGTGGAGTGCATGCCTAGCATGCCCCAGGACCCGAGTTCAACCTCCAGCACCAGAAGAAAACAAAACAGACAGTGGCAGATGACTGTCACATCCCCTAAAAGAAACAGAGTTGATATGGTTGAGGGCACTGGAAAGCCAGATGGCTTTCCTCTACTTTGTATTTTTTTTTTTTTTGCAGTATTAGAGACTGAACCTAGGGCCTCACACATAGTCTACCACTGAATTGTACCTTCAGCCCTTTTGTTCTAAATCAGAGGCTTCCTAAAATGCTCAGGCTGGCTTCAAACTCATGATCCTCCCACTTCAACCTCCTGAGCAGTTAGGATCATGGGCCTGCGCCACCACTCCTGTCTCCTATACTCTGAACCAACTGCAGAACGCCAGCTCTTACATTGGAGCCACCTAGGACATCGAGCAGAGTCACAGGATGGCAGCACCCCCATGCTGTCTAAGGACACTGGTGCACCTTCTGGTGAAGATGCTCCTCCACTGAGGTACATATTACACCACTCCACTGTAAAAGTTTAATTGGTTCTGAAAATATTTACCCCTTATAATGGATTAATGTATGAGATGCAAGACTAGTAATTACATGGCAGTTCAATTCTAGCCACCCTCCTTTTAATGCGTCTACATGTATAAGAGACCCAGCTCACAAGCCAGCAGTTTCACGGCTCCTAGCAAAATGTGACACACCTCCACAGGACAACGTTGCCCCTCGCAAAGCAAGGACTGATTTGATTTTACCGTAAAAGATAAGGCCCCCAAAAGTTGACAATTTGGATCAGGGTCAAAACGTCATGTTTCCCACTATTTTTTCCCCCTTGGTACCAGGGATGGAACCTAAAGGTGCTTAACCACCGAGCGACATCGCCAGCCCTTTTTGTCTTTTGAGACAGGTCTCACTAGGTTGCTTAGGGCCTTGCTAAGTTGCTGAGGCTGGCTTTGAACTCGCAATTCTCCTGCCTCCGCCTCCCAAGCTGCTGGGATTAAAGGCATGTGCCACCATGCAGGGCTCGTTTCCCAATTTCTAATGCTGTGCTCTTTCTCCTTCCTAGTGTGCAAATTCTCTCCCCTTGCCCAAGAGACCTCTGGGCCTGCCAAAGAGAGCACCTGGGTGCTAAGATGCTGTCCCCACCAAGCCTGGCTGTCAGGTTCCCCTCTTTCCTAGGTTCCAGGCTCCATTCACCCCTCTTCTGCAGCCGGCTGCCCCCTGTAGAAGATAATTCCTCCCTTCCAATTCCCACTTCTTTGTATCAGGAAAGTCTTTCTTCCCCCAAACCTGCCACAGCATACCACTCATAATTCATTCACTGTCTGTACTTGGACTTAAGACTGGCTGTGTTTTAGTTGTTTTTTTTTTTTTTGGAGGGGTAGTATTACTAATCAGAACTCCTGATAACCTTATAGGAAATGCACATTATTTTTGACAGTAATCAGGCAATAGCATTTAACAATAAGAAAAGGCATTTGAAATATAAATTATTTTTTGAGGACAATAACATCATTTGGTTACTTTAGCTGGGTGCCTAAAGATAATTGATGGTCACTGGGATCAAATTCTAAACCCTTTGATTTCTTCAGATGGTACTTCTACATTTTAGATCTTCATCTCTTAGTTTCTACAAATCATGCCCTTCCTGAATCCATTCTCTTCAGTGGTGTCATTGGCAGAGATTACTTCTACTTTTTCATGTTTTTTTTTTTTTCCCCATTAAATTAAACCCCAAAGCCACCAAAATGTCAAGAGGTCTCTTTCTCTAAAGCAATGAATATAAAAGTACAGTATAAGAGCAAATAAAATTCTTAATCCTAAAAGAAAAACAACAAATCAGACCCCCCACAACCTAATGAACTATTATTCTAGCAGGACAATGCCAACGCAGTTGACACATGATGAAGTACCTTCATGAGCTGAAAATAAAAATTCTTGAACAAATTAAATGCATCTTAATTTTCTTAGATTTCACTGTAATTCTGTAGCAATTTAAGAAAATTGGGATTTCTTATTATTATGTCCAATTTGCTTTTTATTTTTATTTCTTCCCTTAGGGGGCTGGAGAGGAATAGCAGTCAAAAACGAAACAAATTAATGTTTCCTTTCTTTTAAGGTCTCATTCTTATTTCCCTATCATCTACAAGGGGATCCACACTGCTTTGTGGAATAACAAGGCCTACGCAGGAGGCCTCTTCACACAGAATCAGAGGTTTTACTTGCCTGTTAGTGAAGTGAGACAGAAAGAGGCACTGCCTTAATGACTAATAAAGTTCTATTTCTAACCCTTCGATATATTTGTTGTAATTATATATATATTTTTTTCAGTACAGAGATTGAACTCAGGGGCACTTGACCACTGAGCCACATCCCCAGCCCTATTTTGTATTTTATCTAGAGACAGGGTCTCACTGAGTTGCTTAGCGCCTCACTTTTGCTGAGGCAGGTTTTGAACTCGCAATCCTCCTGCCTCAGCCTCCCAACGGCTGGGACTACAGGTGTGCGCCACCATACTCAGCTTTGCTGTAACAACATTTAACAGTCTTTAATAAATCTGAAAAAAAAAAAAATCCCAAATTTTCTAATTATTTTATGTATCATGCATGAAACTCTAAATTAAAACTGTCTTCAACAGAATATTAATAAGTTGAACAAACAGGTTAGGAAACCCTCCACTAAGATAAAAATTATTTAGATCATGCATAGGACTGTTATAACACTATCATAAGACTGAAACTATTACCTGTCATCAATTTGTGCAAATCAATGAATTACTGTTTCTCACATATCATATATTTATATTGCCATCTTGTGAAAACTAGTAAACATTTTAAAGTTACCTATTGTTGTCAAGCTAGAAAAGCCACAATCACTTTATCAACTGTGTGTCACTACATGCACTATCTACTTTCCTTTCTGATTCTTCGAAAAGATGGATTTATCTGTCAACTTCACTGAACACATCAGCACACCCTACTGTGTACCAGGACCTGCTGTGGCAGACACTGAAGATCACCCACAGGGCTGAGTGAGATGGCAGTATACTCCACACTGAGACTTCCCCAGAGAAGAGCGCTCCTCAGGCTACAGAGAATGATTCAAATGCAACAAGTCTGCCAAGACTGAGGTGCACCCCAAACAACTAAGAAGTCTGGCCAACTGGTCCCCTCCTCTCCCAAACAGACTAACAAGCACCAAAGAACAAGTGTCAGTGGAATATAGCTGGCAAGGCCGTGACACCGTAGAGAGGCACTCTGCCAGGTGCAGCATGCAGGGATGATCTATCGCTCCAAGTGGAACAGACACTGAGAACCACTCCTGCAGACCTGCCCCACTCTAAATGCCAGGTACAGTCATTTCCCCTTATCTAGGGATACTTTTCAAGACCCCCCAGTAGATGCCTGAAAGTAATATACAGTACTGACCCCACATATGCCACGTTTGCTCCTATATATACACACCTGTGTATATTATAAATCAGGCACAGAAAGAGCACAGACCTCAGCCGCCTTGACCTAGACCTACTTTTTCTTAAGTCAAGAACTATCACCTTTTCACCTTAGACTTTTCTTTGTATCTTGAGTTGCCACCACAGCTACTGTTGAGCTTTGAGTCATTATTATGTAATCTAAGTGACTGAAACGCAAGCACAGCCACTGCAACAGAGAAACTCATGACTGGAGGCTGCTAATGATCAGTGGGTGGAAGTGCACACACATGCACACTCTGGGCACAGGACAGCTCACGTCCTGGTGGGACAGTATGAAAGTTCATCATGCTACTCAGAATGCTGTGCAAAGACTTGCTTCTTAAATTTTCCATTTAGTATTTTGGCACCACAGCTGACCGTGGGTAAACAAATCTCA